ATTATAATTTCAGTCAGAAGATTGCAACGCAGTGAAGGAGACACCTCAGACCCCATAAAGTATATATATTCTTGATCAGCATCACGATCAGAATCGAAATACGTCTGTACGTCTGTCCGTCTGTCCGTTTCCGCGCAAACTAGTCTCTCAGTTTTAAAGCTATCTTGCTGAAACTTTTCCAAAAGGTGTGTAGTTATTGCACGCAGTATATAAGTCGGAACGGGCCGGATCGGCCGACTATATCGGTTAGCTCCCATACGAGAGAATGAAATAAAAAATTCTCACGCCGCTGTTTTTGATCAGATCGAATTGATTTCTTCAAGATGGCGTTTTCGAACTGCTATTGAATTTCGGATTAAATTTGATCAAAACCGGATAACTCTATCATATAGCTGCCATAGGAGAGATCGAAAAATATGTATAGAAATCATTTTTGGAATGTACAGTTTTCTAACGACTCTTGAAAAACACATTTATTTCAACAAAATCGGACAATTATATCATATCGCTGCCATATATGGAAATTTATGGAAAATTCCAGATGGCGTTTTCTGATGACTTGAATTTCGAATTAAATGTTATCAAAATCGGATAACTTTATCATATAGCTGCCATAGGAAATATCAAAATATGAAGTTTTTTGATAACCCTTGAAACGAGAAAAAAATTGTATTAAAATCCGACAACGTTATCATATAGCTGCCATAGGAAATATCGAAAAATCTATATATGTAGAAATAACGGAGGAAAAATGATAACATCGTTGTTTCACATCAGACAATTATGATTTTTGGTATATAGAGTTTTCTAACGACTCTTGAATTACAAATTAAATTTCATCAAAATCGGACAACTAGATCATAAATATAAAAAATAAATAAATATAAAAAATAATCGAAAAATCGTCATAGCTTTGATGTTGTTTGGCGTTTATGTATTTTGTTCGACATATTTGATGACTGCAAGGGTATATAAGCTTCGACTTGCCGAAGCTAGCTTCCTTTCTTGTTTCTTGACTAAACGAATTATCAAGGGGTAAGAATATTCATAAGATTCCGTTCGCTTGTTATTAGCTTAAAAATGTAAAAAAAAAAAGAAATTTGAAACTAAGTGGTGTCTTAAAGTGTGTAGGATTTAAAGGGATGCGTGTCCATGGTAAGTGGAGCACCATTCCGCACTTTCTGTGCTACTTTTGTGGGTTTGTGTGCCATGTTACTGGGAGTACGCCCGACTGCCGTTTAAAGGACTCGACTTGACTCGACGCCAAGGTCCTTTATCAAAGCGAAAGTTGTTGCACAGTTGCGTGGCCAACATACACAGGAACACGCCCTGAAAGAGGGATCCCTCTCGGTCGCTTGCGGGTCAATTATCGCGCTTTGCATGCCACGAACAGTTGTCGTCCATCATCCATCCTTCGGTCGTCATTCCCCCCTTGCAGGGCGCATCAGGCAGCGGCAGTCGCGATAAAAACCGAGAGCCAAACCGAATTTGTAGCTTGAATTTAGCCCATTGAGTTGGCCTTGTGTCTGTTTGCTTGCGGGCTTGACTGTTTGTTTGCATAGCCCGCGGTTAGCCATTGCAATAAAAACTTTTTAGCTCTAATGCTAATTAGGCATTACGTGTGCGTTGAGTAGTCGGGCTTCTCCAAGTCCTCACGCTTAATCGTGATAGTCATACAGCACCCTCCCTGCAGGACTTCTGTGTATATACCATACATGTATGTCTGCAATAGTTGCCTCAATTATGCCCGATGCCATGTAAATTATGCCAGCCAGCCAGCCAGCAGCAACTGCCGCACTTGAAGAATTGTGGCAATGTGCACTCAGCATCATTTAGTGGTTTATATTGTATGACAAAGTGCATGTGTTGGCTGCAAGCCACAATGCTTTGAGCAAATGACTATTTGGAATAGGTAGGTGTGATGTGCCATGGCTATAAGTTGCTTTCCATGTTGCTGTTTCGATGCGGAGAGTAAAAAACTGATGGTTATTAGACAGGGTTTTATCGTCGGCAGGACTACAATAACATTGACATTTTGTATGCCTTTGAGCTATCCTTAAGCTTAATAATCTCAAAACCTAATGCCAGTGGAAACGGTCCCCTAAGAATCCAAATTTCTGAATCATCCTAACACAGTACATTGCGTGTATTTCGGTAACGAAGTCAATAATATATTCTTCGTTATAGTTAAGTTTACAATTTTTGCCTTTTTTCGGACTCTCAAAAATTTAAAACACTTAACAAATGCATTGAATTGTACCCTTGCAGTTCTAATTTCAGTCAAAAGTGAAAGCAGTGACGACAATTTAGACCCCATAAAATATGTATATTCTTGATCAGCTTCACTATTTACATTTTTTTTGATAAAGTTTCAGCAAGGTAGCTTTAAAACTGAGACTAGTTTACATTGAAACAGACAGGCGGACAGAAGGCTATACTCACAGACGTTCAGATCGTGATGCTGATCAACAATGTATATGTACTTTATGCGGTCTGAGGTGTCTCTAGGGCCGGCGGAAGGCGTGGGTCCTACGAGTAGTACTACCCACCTGGAATTTCTGAAGGGTGGTAATTACCCACCTGAATCACAGCAAATTTTTTCGTAAGCGAATAAAGGAACACAAAATTATTTCAGAGCAAAATGTTAAATTTTATAAAAATCTCATGGGAACACTATGGTTGGCGTGTCCGCCTTTTTGTTTGATTGAACGTCGATTTCTTGAAATCTAGTGAAACTAGAACATTGCGATTGGCCATGCAGATTCTAGTAAAAAAGTGCAAATTCGAAAAAAGCTTTTAAAAGTTTTTGCTGAAACTTTCCCAAAAGGTGTGTAGTTATTGCACATAGGATAGCTCCCATACAAGAGATTGAAATACAAAATTCTAACGCCGTTGTTTTTGATCAGATCGACTTGATTTCTTCCACATGGCGTTTTCTAGTTACTATTGAATTTCGGGTTAAATTTTATCAAAATCGGATAACTCTATCATATAGCTGCCATAGGAAAGATCGAAAAATCTATATAGAATTAACGGAAATAAAATGATAACATCGTTATTTCTCATCAGAAAATCATGATTTTTCGAATATAGAGTTTTCTAACGACTCTTAAATAATAAATAAAATTGGATCAAAATCGGACGACTATATCATATAGCTGCCATATGAACAATAGTCAAAAATATGAAAAATTAATAGAAAAGTCGTCGTTGCTTCGATGTTGTTTAGCCTTTGTGTATTCTGTTCGAAATATTTGATGACTGCAAGGGTATATAAGCTTCGGCTTCCCGAAGCTAGCTTTTTTTCTTGTTTTTTGATGATTTGGTTTCTGTTGATAGATACGCCGTACTTACTTTTACACCCACCAGCCTATGGGGCGTTTTACCCCCACTTTTTCCATAGACGTCGAGATTTCAAAGTGGTCACACCAATTGTTATTGTCGATCTGAGTAACCGGGTATTTTACTTTCGATGTCCTTGACTCCATCGTTCTCTCCTGTTTTTTTTTTATATAGATTTATACCATATCGGCGTTCGTCACGCAATGTAATTTTGAATCCAAGAGACATTATTTTTATTTTTTCATTTTTTGCGAGGGCTTTAAATATAGTCGTCCGATCTGGGCCCATTATAAAAATCGTCATAGCTTTGATGTTGTTAGCCTTTATGCATTTTTTTCGACATACATATTTGATGACTGCAAGGGTATATAAGCTTCGGCTTGCCGAAGCTAGCTTCCTATCTTGTTTTGTTATTGTTATTTGGCCTCGCGTAAAACCTACAATTACATCTATAAGCCAAATCCCAGTGTGTTACAATTGAGAAACGCAATAAAGCTAAAGTTTATCCAACGCGAAAGGAAAGACGCAAGAAATGTTTTGAAAAACAAAAGTTTAACTCTTTTAAAATCATTAAAACGCTTTTAGCGCTTTTCACGCCTCTGACCAGCGAGAATTTTCTATAGTCTGCCAAAGCTCAGTAAAGTTTAATTTTTCGGCTTTGTTACCCAAAGGAACAAAAACGGCTGGCGATGATGGTAAAAGTGGCAAAGTTTTCCGTCAAAGACGACTGAGAATCATAGGCACGAGAGAAGTCTGGGTAACCAGACTTGGGCTCTCTAGGCTTATAGATACCCTAAGGAAAGGTATTGCCTTTATGGCGCCAAAATTAACACATCTTTCCCAACTTAGTTCTGATATTCTTCACTTTTGGGCACAGTTTGAGGGTACATTTACTCAGTCGCCCACCATTGAACCAAATTAGCAGAGCTATCCAATTGTGCATTTGTTGGAAAATTTCTTCTGCATCTTTTTTTGTTGTAAGGGTTTTCTTACATGAAAATTTTATTTTTTTTATTTTTGTTCGTCTTCCTTTTTTTGCTATTTGCTTAACGTAAGCGTAAGTATTATTGTTCTCTTGCCTCTGACCAGTTTTGATCGAATGTTTAAAGCTAATGTACAAGTGTGCCAGAAGCAGTAGTAGACGACTGTGCTGCAAAACTTTTAAAAATTTCAAAAATAATAAATGCTGATTGGACTTTGTTAGCTGAGAGAAAAATGGTGATGGCACATACATATAATGTGAGTTTAAAGTCAAGATTTTGTATGAGACGATTAAGCGACGCTTCTTGCAATAATAAAGTTTCAATCTAAAATTGAAGAACAAAATCCAAACACAAAGCGCTGCAAAGGTTTTCCCTCAAAAAGATATATCAGCATAAATACCTTCTCTAAATAAGATGGTTGATATGAATTTGAATTTATAAATTTGTCGTTGATCTGAAAATCGTGAATATCTCGAAATCTATAATGATGGTCCAGCATAGAAGCAAGACTACTTTTCTGAGTGCACACTTCGCAGCGATAACCTCAAGCAGATAAGCTCGCGTTGGCACGCGGCCATTGCTATTGGCCGGACCAACCGCATAACCGACTGGTCCCAAACTAGGCCCACCCGTCTTATCATTCAGTCGCATCAGTTACATCGACCGTTGTTTGCAGTCGCTCTGATCAGTCGGTTGTCATCTAATCCGTCGTTGGGATGCTCGCCTGGTGGATGCGTTTTGTGTGCATTTTGGCGCTAGTGGGTGTGGGGACTGCCCTTCCGACGCTCGACCTCGGAGCAAAGGACTTCCAGCTGGGGTTCCTGCGCGACCTGGTCGGGCAGATGGAGCAGCGGGCTGAGGTGAGCCTGAACGACTACCTGGATCAGCTGGGCCGCAGTCCGCGGAATGCCAACTACTCGGTGGAGCTCGGCGAGGCCCGAGCGTCGCCAAAGCTCCAGGTGAAGGTGACGTTAGTCAAGCAGCTCCTGGACGTCCAGTCCCACCTCGACACGGGTCTGGAGCACACCTCCGTGCTGCGGAACCTGGTCTTCCTGAGCCGACTGAGGCTCGCGCTGAGGGCCGCCGAGGATGCCAGCACCCACGAGGTCCGGCATATGCGTCTGCACCGCCTCTGCCAGAAGCTCGGCCGCCCGGCACCCCTTTCCAGGAGTCGCCTGATCAACGAGCAAACGGTCGGAGCTGCGTTGGAGCAGCTCAACCTCACCAAGCGCGAGGGGAATTCCTCGGGCATAGAGCTGAACGAGTTCGGAGCGCAGCTGTACGAGCGGGTCAAGCTGCCTGGCGCCGAGATAATCGACAACTACCTGCGGCTATTGCGCTCCCTTCTGCAGGACATCATCGACGGCGACCACGAGGAGCTGGCCGGAAGCAGTGGGCACCTGGACAACATGCTGCAGCAGCTCGACGCCATGCTGGCGACCGAGGACTTCTTCGGGAAGCGCCAGAGGGTGTACGCTTACCTGAGGCGGCACCTGGCTGCCGACTACGAGCAGATGCGGGACTCTGAGGGGTCCGGGCACTTCACAGAGCATCTTCTCGCGCAGCTAAAGGTCAAGGGCCTGGACCTGTTTCTCATCTTTCTGTTCAGCAACTTCGAGTTCCTGGAGCTGGTGCACGAGCACTGGCTGCAGCTGCTCCCCCAGACGCCCAGCCTGCTGCTCGACGAGACAGCGCGCCAGCTGTACGACCTGCAGCAGCTCTACGACGCCTTCAAGCTGGACACGGAGTCCGAGGCCAAGTACGCGGCCTACTCGGACGCCTTGCGGCGGTTGCACGAGCGCACCGTGGAGCAGGGGCAGCGCAACCGCCACGTCTTCGAGCTGCTCCACAACGCTTCTCAGAGCGTCGGCCCAGTCACCTTCAACATGATCAGGGCCAAGTGCGAGGAGCTGAAATGAACTCGATCTCGACATCTCGAATATCCAGTCCCCAACCTTAACTAGAATCCCTACCTAAAAAATCACATTAGTGGCGAGCACTCTACGGGCATGCAAGGCTATTAGGGGCAACCCGAAGCTGGAGTGGACAGACTCAGAGAGAAGAAGTCGATATAATTATATTTTGCTGGTGCTGTGGTTGTCAGCAGCATTTAATATCCGTCTGCAGCATCAGATTTCGTTTAGGTGGCATCCACGGTCTGCCGCCCAAACACCATTTTACTTTCCCGGCCTCAGCGGACCGAAGCCTCCTTTGCGACCATGCAGATGATGTTTCTCTCGCCGAGCCGTTGTTTTCGCCAACCCTCCATCCGGCCAAACCGAAGGCTGCCCGCAGCCACTTAATTAATTGTCGTCGTTGCAGGTGATTAGAACTTAAATGAGTTGCCGCTGCAGCAGAAATTTCCGTGCCAGAGTCATCCATCAGTTCCTAGTGAGGTGATTACCGCATTGAACCCGATCGACGATTTCCATTTTCGTGTAGCTTGACAACATATAATATTATATTATGTTGTCAGAAATATTTATCTTTATTAAGGGGTTATATACCTTTTTCACCAGAGAAATACAGGGTTTTTATTTATTTTTTTTTAGCATGTTACCATTGTTTTATTTAAATTCAATAAATATTTTATCAAAGTACGTGTCCTTAACTTAATTCGTATAAAATTTCGAGTAAAAATTTTGAGAATTGTGGAAGTTATAGTCCTTGCCGCAGAAGTCCTTTTTTAAGTAGTGGCTCACGGTGAGCATGAAAACAAGAAAACGGCCCAACGAAAAAAAAAAAAAAAAAAAAACTACGTTAGTATATAGTGTTACCTAGTTCGTGAACGAAGGATTTTACGAAAAAAAATTTTTTACAGTTACAGTGATTATTTTTTCAAAAAAACCGATTTTTCGAGGTCTAATAATTTAGTTTTTCGCCCCAAAAAAATAGAAAAATTTATCGAAAATAAAATTCCTTCGTTCACGAACTAGCTATTGTATCTACAAACAATCCCCCAAAATTTCAAATCGATCGATGTAGTGGTTACCGAGATATCGTGCTCACCGCAACGACCTTTTCTCAAAAATGCGATTCCGAGATAATCGCGTTTAAAGTTTTAGGTGGACATTAGGTAGTCATGCACACCGTGCGCTATGAACGGCTGTATCTTAGGTTCTAGTGCCCCGATCTCTAAAAAATTTTGCGGAAAAATTGTTGAAAGTATGCATAAAAAAAAAATCATGACATTTTTTTCGATTTCTTGATTCTGAAAAAGGTATATAACCCCTTAAGCAAGGGGTAAAGTCGAAGAAAAACTCTCACGATTGGGTGTGCTCTACAGTCGCTGCATTGCTCTCGAAACAGCTTTTTTTTAATACGTAGGTACTTTTTTTAATTTTACTCGAATAAATACTATAAAGAAATATGTTGTCAGCAATTTCTTGGTAGCAGCACAACCTAATAAAGCTAATTATTTTTTAATCAATTAAGTTTTCGGATTTTTTAAGCAAAAAGGTTCCTGCAATTCCACAAGCCCTGAACATTTACAGAACTAAAAGCTGTTGAGGTTTCTTGGAAGTAAACCTATTTATTAGAAAAATCACGTTAAACCATTCAAGTTTTTTATCCTGTCTGTATGGACGACGAGAATTGTAGATGTGTTTAAATAGCAGATGAGTGCTTAATATGCTGCAAAAGTTGTTTTCAAAAACTTGATTTTACTTTTTTTTAAAGAACTTTTAACTCGTTTCTTGTAGAGTAAAGGGTAAACTGTGATTGTTAAAAATTATTTATATTTTCAGACTATCTTTAGTTTATTGAGTTTGTGTGCCACGCACAAATCGAGAAGTCCGAAGAAATTTGGTTTGATGATACTAAAATGATGATACTAAATAAGCTGCCAATGTCGTTTTTGTACCCCTGCCAAGTGAATTTCAATTTTTACCAAAAAAAATTATCGCTATTAACAATTATTTAGGAATTTCTATTTGTAGTTGTAAGCCCAGAAACCGTAATAACCATCTTCTGTAACTTTTGAATTTGTAAATTACTAGATAAATTATGTCTATCAATCGTATTTAGGGATTGATATTTTTTGAGATGCTTAAAACCAAGTCAGACCTAATTTGCTGAAAAACGTTTTTTTCGCTTATCTTTACAGTCATCAGCGAAGATCCCGAATTCACAGATGTTATCGAAAATATTACTGTTCCCGCAGGACGTAACGTAAAATTGGCTTGTTCTGTCAAGAACCTTGGCTCCTATAAGGTGAGTTGAACAACAATACCTACTTTACCCGGTTCTGAAGTATTTAGTTGTACATAAGATGTTTTTATACCCTTGCAGAGCAAAGGGTATTATAATTTTGGCCAGAAGTTTGCAACGCAGTGAAGGAGACACCTCAGAGCCCATAAAGATCAAGAATATACATATATGTATATCTTGATCAGGATCACGATCTGAATCCAAATACGTCTGTCCGTCTGTCCGTTTCTGCCCAAACTAGTCTCTCAGTTTTAAAGCTATCTTGCTGAAACTTTCCCAAAAGGTGTGTAGTTATTGCACGCAGTATATAAGTCAGAATGGGCCGGATCGGGCGACTATATAGGATAGCTCCAAAATTCGTACACCGTTGTTTTTGATCAGATCGACTTGATTTCTTCCAAATGGTGTTTTCTAACCACTATTGAGTTTCAGATAAAATTTTATCAAAATTGAATAACTCCACCATACAGCTGCCAAACAAAAAATCAAAAAATATATATATATATATACATATATATGTACTGAAAACAAGAAAGGAAGCTAGCTTCGGCAAGCCGAAGCTGATATACCCTTGCAGTCATCAAATATGTCGAACAAAACGCATAAAGGCTAGACAACATCGAAGCTAAGACGATTTTTCTATTCATTTTCCATATTTTTGACTATAGATCACATGGGAGCTATACCATATAGTTGTCCGATTTTGATCAAATTTAATTCATAATTCAAGAGTCGTAAGAAAACTCTATATTCTAAAAATCATACTTGTCTGATGAAAAACAACGATGTTATAATTTTATTTCCATTATTTCTATATAGATTTTTCGATCTTTCCTATGGCAGCTATAAGGTATAGATGAGCGATTTTTATGAAACTTTTTTCTCAATATAAACGTTGTTAAAAAACTTGATATTCAAAAAACCATGCTCGTGGGATAAAAAACAACGATGTTATCAATTTATTTCCATTAATTCTATATATAATTTTCGATCTTTCCTATGGCAGCTATATGATAGAGTTATCCGATTTTGATCAAATTTAATCTGAAATTCAATAACATTTGGAAAACGCCATCTTGAAGAATTCAAGTCGATCTGATGAAAAACAACGGCGTGAGAATTTTTCATTTCATTTCCTCGTATGGGAGCTATCCGATATAGTCGGCCGATCCGGCCCGTTCCGACTTATATACTGCGTGCAATAACTACACACCTTTTGGGAAAGTTTCAGCAAGATAGCTTTAAAAATGAGAGACTAGTTTGCGCGGAAACGGACAGACGGACAGATGGACAGACGGACAGACGGACAGACGGACAGACGTACATACGTATTCCGATTCTACTCGTGATGCTGATCAAGAATATATATACTTTATGGGGTCTGAGGTGTCTCCTTCACTGCGTTGCAAACTTCTGACTGAAATTATAATACCCTTTTGCTCTGCAAGGGTATAAAAATTATAACGTCGTTGTTTTTAATCCCACGAGCATGATGTTCAAAACATGGAGTTTTTTAATAACCCTTGAATCGATAAAAAAATTTCATTAAAATTCGACAACGTTATCATATAGCTGCTATAGGAAAGATCGAAAAATCTATATAGAAATACGGGAAATAAAATTATAACATCGTTGTTTTTAGTCAGATAAATATATTCGAATATAGAGTTTTCTAACGACTCTTAAATACGGATTTAATTTGATCAAAATCGGGCAACTACAGTAGAATCCGCTTATAGCGACTTTCAAGGGACCGACGATTTTTCGTCGTTATACTCGGAAGACGCTCTAAGCAGAAGGATTTAAGTGTATAAGTCTGTCTGGGGACCAATCAAGCCATTCGTCGCAATACCCGGACAGACACTATAAGCGGAGTCGTTATAACAGGATTCTACTGTATATCATATAGCTGCCATATGAACAATAGTTGAAAATATGGAAAATCAATATAAAAATCGACATAGCTTCAATGTTGTTTGGTCTCTATGTAGGTATTTGTCTCGACATATTTGATGACTGCAAGGGTATATTAGCTTCGGCTTGTTTTCTATTTATTTTTTCTTGTTTCCTATTTTCTATATAGTTCAACTCTAGTTTTGTCTAACAACAAATATGACGATTATGTTCTTTAATTCAACTATCTTTCCATTGATATAAAAACCCGATTTTTGTTCCATTTCCGATTCCAAATTCACGAGTCGTTAAATATACACAGATATGTTAACCCATATTGTTTCCACATTTGTTTCTACTAAAAACAAAATTTTAAATCCTAGTCAAATGGAGCAAATAGGAATAGACCAAATACAGTCCAGAGTAGTTTCCTCTTCAAAGATAAATCACTTTCATTGCTAATGCTCCGAGGCCAATCGACCTACATATATTGATTGCCTTAGAGCCAACTGGACACTGCTCAGAACGTAGATGTTTCTCTTTAGTCCTGTCACTCAGACGGCAATTTAAATTTGCATACAATTGAATTTCAATTATGTGCGTGCGACCAAAACGTGCATAAATTTAATTTTAACACGACTTTCGCTCCGTTCCATATTTTCTCTCCTTTCTTTCGCCAAACGGTATATGCTCATAATAATTTTTATGACCGTAAAGTTTGGCATGTGCGACCCTTGGCCCTCATACTACTTATCCATCCCGCACTCGTTTGACTTGGGTAGTTCTCCTCATTGGCCTCAGGTAAGCTCAAAAATAAACCAGCAGCAACAACGCGAACCGCCAGTGGCTGCAATAAAACGTGACTTTGCATGCAAAATAGTTGCGTAGGACAACCCTTGAGTTGCCCACGCCACCTTGGCTCCAACGCAAACAGACAGGTTAGCTCAAATTGATTTTAAAGCCTTTATAAGTGTAATAAGGTTTCTCTATCAAACACGCCAAAAAAACAATCACCTGAGAAGTATATCTGTAACCTTCTGCAAAAAGACTTGAAAAGAAACGAGCACAAAAAGCTGAAACGCTCACTAAAACTCAAATCTATAAATCATACTACTATAAAATACGACCATGTCCAATTAGGGAGATTGGGAAATAGTACGGATATTATTCTTTATATGTTTTTCCATTTCTTCGCAAACCAATTTACATAATTTCGTGGTTTTTGAAGAAACTAGCACTGCGTTTGCGTGGCAAGAGTCTACGTTTTTTTATTATATTATTTCGGCGTTCATTCGGGAGAACAAGCGGAAAAACTCAGATAGACTGGAAATATACTTTTGATCAGAAATATACTTTTCTTATAGTTTCGCAAGTGTATCCGTCCAAACTGAAAGGCGAGAAACTCGTTTAAAATTTGAAATAAAAGCATCTAAATTATGTAACTAAAATCAAAATTTCTTATCTAAACTTTGAACTTCCCTCAAAATTTTATGTTTATGCGGATAGACAAATTGATAGGCAGACGGACATGGCATTTATGATCCTCGTAAATTGATCCTGATTACGAATATGTCGGAGGTGCTTCTACTGTCTGTTACGTTGTTTTAATCGACTACAGTATACCCTTTTATACTGAAAGAAAATTTATGTGCACACTTAACCTTAATCTTTGCAATCCCAGAGAAAACTTGTCCTTATGTAAAACAAGAAAGGAAGCTAACTTCGGCAAGCCGAAGCTTATATATGTACCTACCCTTGCAGTCGAACAAAATACATTAAGGTTAAACAGCATCGAAGCTATAACGTTTTTTTTCTATTGATTTTTCATATTTTCGACTATTGTTTATAAGGTAGCTATATGATATATGAAATTCGATTCGTTATTCAAGAGTCATTAGAAACCTCTACACTACAAAAATTATGATTGTCTGGTGAAAAACATTATCATTTATTTCCGTTAATTCTATACGGATCGAAAAGATCTTTCCTATGGCAGCTATATGACATAGTTGTCCGATTTTTATGACTTTTTTTTTTCTCGGTTCATCGGTTCAACGACGTAATAATATTTTTTCCCGTTATTTATATATATATTTATCGATCTTTCCTATGGCAGCTATATGATAGAGTTTTCCGATTTTAATAAAATTTAATCCGAAATACAATAGCAGTTAAAAAACGCCATCTGGAAAAAATCAAGTCTTATCAAAAACAACGGAGTTAGAAATTTGTATTTTAATCTCTTGTATGGGAGCTATCCTATGTAGTCGTCCGATCCGGCCCGTTCCGCCTTATATACTGCGTGCAATAACTACACAACTTTTGGGAAAGTTTCAGCAAGATTGCTTTAAAACTGAGAGACTAGTTTGCGTAGAAACGGACAGACGGACAGATGGACAGACGGACAGACGGACAGACGGACAGACGGACCGACGGACAGACGTACAGACGGATTTCGATTCAGATCGTGATGCTGATCAAGAATATATATACTTTATAGGGTCTGAGGTGCCTTCTTCACTGCGTTGCAAACTTCTGACTGAAATTATAATACCCTCTGCTCTGCAAGGGGATAATGAAGTAATTTCAAGAAATTTAAATACCACAATAATGAAACAGATAGAATTTTCACAATTATACCAAAAACAAGTCACATTGAAAACTTTAAAATGTCCTTCGAAGAAAGGACCTGCCATTTCGTAGCCGTAAATGGCCGTAAATGGACCCGTAAAATTTAATGGCAGCTGACCGTTAGAGGACACTCTCTTAAAATCAGCTTAGCAGATTAGACAATCAAAGCTATAACGAAAAATAATCAATAAGGAGGCAGCAAAGGAACCTAAAGGCTTTTAAAAATACACAAAAATTTGTAACTATTTTAAATTTAAACGCAAATTAAAGACTTTAATCATGGGCTTAAAGCAAGAACATTGAGTATTCAAATCCCAAATAAAGACTTTTAAGAATGCAATATCTCACCATTTGCTTGATAAATGCTGCTACATTAATTTTTTAACATTGTTTCCTGAGCAAAAGCCTGACTTAAAATGTGCCGGAGTCTACAGTGCCGAAATTTAAAATAAACGAACTTAATGGGGACTTCTACTCAGCTTTGTCTACTATTGGCGTCTATGCACGTTTTCTTTGCAGACATTGAAAAATTAACCGATATCAGTCCACGTTGGCCTGTCTCAGTTCCTTTCGGCTGCTGCGACCCCTTTCGAGGATGATGCTAATGCAGCTCTCTGGGATATTATTTTTACTCCGGTTGCCTCGATTCGAATGCTCCTCAGAGCGCAGCCCGACCATTACCCATAGATTCCCTGACACTCTTTCGATATTTATCATTGAAATGGCATCGGCACATTCTGTATTTTAGTTCCTTCTTTGTTCCCCGAGCTTAGCATGTTCAAGTCAATACATTGGGTGCTTAAATTTACATATATTGCTTGTTGTGTTCCACCCCCCATCTACATACACATACTGAATGCCGAATAGCCGAGACTTAAAGTCCGCCCCAAACGCACGAGGTCGAAGCTAGCAACTCCGTCGTCAAATTTGGCCAGGACACTGCTCATCCTCGCATCGATTACAGCGATGTTCCTTTGAAGTAACCAATTTAACCAACTCCTTTTTCAGGTCGCGTGGATGCACTTCGAGCAGTCGGCCATTCTCACTGTACATAACCACGTGATAACGCGCAATCCCAGAATTAGTGTCACCCACGATAAGCACGACAAACACCGCACCTGGTTCCTGCATATCAACAATGTCCAGGAGGAGGACAGGGGTCGATACATGTGCCAGATTAATACGGTTACGGCCAAGACCCAATATGGATTTGTCAAAGTGGTTGGTAAGTTTTCGCATTGTCAGACTTATTTCATTTAATTCGCCAAAAGCGTCGGGAATGTTTCCTTGTAATCTCTGGCAAACCGTTCTGCTCTTTTAAGAACGTTGATTTAATTGGCGTGTGGTTACATCAGTTATCCTTGGTCAGTTCTTAAGGTCAAGTCACTTCAAGAATGTACCAAACACTTTCAGTAATAGCTTAGGAACAAATTTTTTTTCAAAGTGATTGAAAAGTTATATATTTTAACTATTTTAATTTATTTTATCCTACCCTGGAGGCCCAAAAAAAGGCCTATTTTCGAGAATTTTTTTCAAAGCTCCTGGGATATTCTTACAATTTTTGTTTATTGAATATGAATATATAATGCTTCAACTATAAGCTGTAAAATTTTGAAAAGAAAATATTAAAAAATGAGCGAGTGAGAATGCCTGAAAGTTGACCCCATCAAAAATAGTGCCCTGCCGGTAGTCAAATTTTCTCCGCCAATGTTCATCTGAAATCAAAAATCCAAAATTTTTCTTTAAGTGTATGTGTCTGACTCGTGTTTGAACGAAGGATTTTTTTTTAAATTAAAAATTGAATTTTTTACAACGTTTATAAAAAATGACGTTTTTTGCATACATTTTGACCATATTTCGTCCTATAAAATAAGTTCTATTTGACCAAAAAAAAATCCTTCGTTCAAATACGAGAAAAACATGTCTAAAAGAAGTGTGCAAAAGGAGAAGTCGATCGGTGCAATAGTTTTCGAGAAAATTTGACTACCGACTTTGAAAAAGTCGATTCGAGAAAAACGCGTTCAAAGTTTCAAACCCTTTGAAACATTCTGGAAAAACGGCGCTTTAAATTTCCCCCATTTCTACAGTTTTCCTCCGATCGACTTGAAATTTTCGGACAACATTCCTTACACTTTTTACTATTATATAAAAAATTTTGAAAAAACTGAATTTTTTAAAAGGTCAGGGGTAGGATAACCCCTTAACCTAAAGACTTGAAATATAACTATGTAGTTTAAAATGTTTCTTCTTATCTACATGAACTTAAAGTCTACATGGGAGAAAAATATAAGTAAATTTCGATTTATTATATCCTTGCAGAGCAAAGTGTATTATAATTTCAGTCAGACGTTTGCAACGCAGTGAAGGAGGCACCTCAGACCCCATAAAGTAGGGGAGACCGGGGGGTTTTGAGACGGGTTTTGTTTTTTGACAAAAAATATAATAGAAAAGCCATTTTTCTGCCCGTACAAATTTTTAAAACATAGTTCAGTGTAATTTCACTCAGACAAGAGTATAATTAGTTGAAATTTTAGTTCGACCTTCAAGTTTTGCCTGCCTGCTCAAAAGTTGTTTTTTATGGATTTTCGCAAGGTTCGAGGGGTTGTGAGACACAAATTTATAAGAATGAAAATGGCCTAATTTTATCAAAATTGTTTATTTTAATCTTTAATAAGGCATATTTTGTGGTCTACAATTTATTCAAATTGAAAAGATTTCGGCTTTTTCTCGATAGCAAACTCTTTTATAGCAGCCACAAAAACATTGACATCAATCGCAGATTTGGCAGTCTGACTATACTTATGACGCACCATGATGACTAAAGAAAGAAAAAAGATCATCAAAAACACTGAATCCATCAAAAATATCAAAATTATCATTAAACGTTTTGGTTGTGTACAGAAACACTATAAAATACAATTTTATGTTCCTAGATGACGCGGTAATAGAATGTCTCATAACCCCCGAGAACGTTGTCTCACGACCCCCCAATAGCTATATTTTAAATATGGCTTCTGCTTTACGGACGCATTAAATGTTTATGCAAAATTTGTTCCGTGTTTCAAAAGGCTACTCACCAAGGAATGTTTCGGATGTATGCACTCTCGCAAATAGCTTGTAAAACAAAGCGAAAAGACAGCAAACACGAACGGTCTACAAAACTTTCGATCACAAAATTGGAGTTGCCATTTGGGAAGACATAAAGAATCGGCATGAGCGGAATATTTGTGATGTGGAAATGAAGATTGGAAACAAGCAAGAAGTTTCACAGTCAGCTGGTAGATGTCGCGCTTTTTAGTTCAGGGCTGTAAGCGCGTCTCACGACTCCCCGTGTCTCACGACCCCCCGGTCTCCCCTACATATATTCTTGATCAGCATCACGATCTGAATCGAAATCCGTCTGTCCGTCGGTCCGTCTGTCTGTTTCTATGTAAACTAGTTTCTCAGTTTTAAAGCTATCTTGCTGAAACTTTCCCAAAAGTTGTGTAATTATTGCACGCAGTATATACATAAGTCGGAACGAGCCGGATCGGACGACTATATCGGATAGCTCCCATACGAGAGATTGAAAAAAAAAATTCTCACTCCGTTGTTTTTGATCGGATCGACTTGATTTCTTCCAGATGGCGTTTTTAACTACTATTGATTTTCGGTTTGAATTTTATCATATCGGATAACTCTACCATATAGCTGCCATAGGAGAGATCAAAAAATATATATATAATAGAATTAATGGAAATTAATTGATAACGTCATTGTTTTTCACCACACGACTATAATTTTTTGAGCATCAAGTTTTTTAACTAGCCTTGATTTATAAACAAAATTTCAAAAAAATCGGACAACTATATCACATAGCTGCCATAGGAAAGATCGAAAAATCTATATAGAATTAACGGAAATAAAATGATAACATCGTTATTTCTCATCAGAAAATTATGATTTTTGGAATATAGGTTTTTCTAACGACTCTTGAATAACAAATAAAATGTCATCAAAATCGGACGACTATATCATATAGCTGTCATATGAACAATAGTCAAAAATATGGAAAATTAATAGAAAAGTCGTCGTAGCTTCGATGTTGTTTAGCCTTTGTGTATTCTGTTCGAAATATTTGATGACAGCAAGGGTATATAAGCTTCGGCTTGCCGAAGCTAGCTTTCTTTCTTGTTTTTTTTATACAATATACAATTGCATTTCCTTTGTATGTGCTCAGAAGTTCGTAACACAGTGAAGGGCACTGTTTCGATCCAATGAAGTAAATATGTATATAGTAGGTATATATTCTTGATGAGCATCTCATGTCAGTTTGTCTATCTGTCTGTCAGGTGATTGTAAAAAGCCAACTAAGAGTTAGAGAATAAATTTAAATTAGCCTGTGCTTTCGTTTTACTGCACATTTTTGTGCTTAATAGTACTTTGATTATGTTTCTTGATTTGATAAACTAAGGGAGTCGAGAAACCCGTTCTTAGCACGTGGAACTTGAATCCAAATCTTACCCAATGCCGTCACCTTAGCCAAAGCCGTACATTCTGATATGACATCCAATTCCGGCCCCATATCCGGCACCCCATCCGACTCCTTATATATGTTATATGTGTATATGTTTGAGTAAGGGTATATGATAGCCTGGACGCTCTACTAGAGCACTCTCCCTTGTTTTTATTTTCGTACAGCCTGGCAAATTTACCTTTCAGTCCAGAACTTTTGCAGCATCAGCATGTGGCCAACAAGTGTGTGCATATGCGAGATAACTGAACGCAAGGAAGAAGTGAAAAAATGGCGACAACGCTGCGCAAAAAGGGTTTATAGCAAAATTGGCGAAACAGTCGTAGCCGCTCAGGTCACGCCGCACCAAATTGCCAAGACGCGTGCTGTATGTGATTGTTTTTAAAGCAAGCTACAGTACTGGCAATTGCCACTCGATTATTACACTACCAGGGCACTCACATGCACTGACGGTCAAACTTTGTACCACAAGACCATTCTAAAACATAAGCATTGGTAATCGCAATTTTCTACAAAAACAAATGTTGATATCTTTTACTAATAAAACTGCTAAAGGCTAATCAATATCGAAGCTATTACGAATTTTCTATTAACTTTCTACATATTCAACCTCCTCGTTCCTATGACAGCTATATAATATAATAGTCGGAATTTCATGAAATTTAATTAAAAAAAAAAAATATGATAAAAACAACAGAATAATAATTTTATTTTCGTTATTTTTTCCATCTATTCTATTTGAGCTATCCGATATCGTCGACTAGTTTACATAGAAACAGACAGACAGAGATACAGATCGAGAATATATAATATTAGGTTGTTTGGTATTGACATACCGGTTTTTACATTCAAATTTTGCGCTTCGCTTGTGAAGTCAAATATAATCGTATCTGGCAATGCTGTATATCGTTTGAAAGGTATTGGCATCACCTTTAAAATGACATATGTATAGTTTGTTTACATGAGCTTCCACGTAAAAAATTACAATCGATTGAAATGGAGTTCACAAACGCAGAAATTCGGGCAATTTTGAAATTTTATTTTGCACAGGGAAAAACTGCTGCGGAATCTCGCAGACAGATTATTGCTGTTTTGGGAGAAAACAAACTTTCGATTCAAACCGCCGAACAGTGGTTTAGGCGATTCCGAAGTGGCAATTTTGATACCGAAACGCCCAAGCCTTCCGGACGACCAGTGACCGTTGATACGGATAAAATCATGGAAATAGTGGATCGAGATCGTAATGTGACTATTAGAACCATCGCAGAGGAGCTGCAACTAAGCACGGAAACCATCCATAGGCATTTAAAGTCGACAAATTTAACAAAAAAGCTAGATGTCTGGGTGCCATGAGTTATCCCAAAAAAACAAAAAAAAAACCTTTTCGACCGTGTATCAATCTGCGAATCTTTGTTGCACCGTAACAAACTCGACTCATTTCTGGATCGGTTAGTCACTGGTGATAAAAAATGGATCACATATGACAACATAAAGCGTAAAAGATCCTGGTCGAAGCACGGTGAGTCGTCTCAAACGGTGGCAAAGCCAGGACTGACGGCTCAGAAGGTGTTGCTGAGTGTATGGTGGGATATCAGAGGAATTATCCAACTATGTTAAAATCGTCGTCAAAAATCAATAAAGAAACCGGTATGTCATTACCAAACAACCTAATATATACTTTATGAGGTTTGAGGGTCTTCTTCACTGCGTTGCAAACTTCTACCTGAAATTATAAATCCACCTGCAAGGCCTTAAAATTCTCGTTACTATAGGCTTGTGTCGGTTTTTACAATTAAGTTCCAAGTTAAAGGTGAAATAAAATTCGGCACGCGGAAGCTAGTTTCCTTTCCTGTTTTCTATGCAGTACAGTAGTGGGATAAGGCATTGAGATTTTACTGACGAACAAACTATACTTCGAATAAAAATCGCTAAGCTTTAAAGCAAGAAATCAAAGAAATGTGGGCCCCACGAAAAATCCAATTATTGTTTACAAATATCAATGGGGCTATGTGATTTAAAAACTGACAACTGACAATGCCCGAACACAAGCAGGAATAGAAACCTAATAAATATTTCAAATTATCTTAATTGCATTTAGCAACAAACATTAATGAAATTAAAATGTTGCAATCCCCGGCCATAAATGCAACAAAGCTGAAAACATTGTCAGGCCAGTGAGTATACGTATACGCAAATAAATGCATTTTGGGGGTGCAACATTTGTGAATTTAATTTGCTGACTCAAATGCAAAACACGGGATGGAATTCGCAGACATCATGGAGGATACAACGAATTTGTGGCTTGAGTATGCAAAAACCAACATAAAATGCGCCTGAATTTATGGGCCGTGCACGCGCAATGCATTTAAATGCGCCGCGATTGCCGCCTGCTGTTGTCGCTGCCCGTTGCAAGCTCGAAGGTCTGCGGCCCGTGCAAACAACTTTTTCCTGCCAAATGACCGCATATGGCCACAGCGAGTGCAGCTTGCAGATGAAGCGAAATAACAAACGCCAGCCATTACGGCCTGGTCCAGAACAAGGAACTCAGTTTTCCTGGCTGGCGCATAATTTCTCATGTCTGCTCACATAATGAGGCCGTTTATTAAATTCAATTATTTATCTGACATCGGTGCAGAGCAGAAGCCGTTTTACAAAGGAATTCAGCAAAGAATACATTTATGGAGTCCTAAATTCCAGCTAGGGTGTGTTAACCAAACTACAAATCAAAATATAACATCGGCATGTCACAAAGCAACTGACATACCCCTAAAACTGCGTATACCAATTTTTATACCCTTGCAGAGCAAAGGGTATTATAATTTCAGTCAGAAGTTTGCAACGCAGTGAAGGAGACACCTCAGACCCCATAAAGTATATATATTCTTGATCAGCATCACGATCAGAATCCAAATATGTATGTACGTCTGTCCGTCTGTCCGTCTGTCTGTCTGTCCGTCTGTCCGTCTGTCTGTCTGTCCGTCTGTCCTCCTGTCGGTTTCTATGTAAACTAGTCTCTCAGTTTTAAAGCTATCTGGCTGAAACTTTCCCAAAAGTTGTGTAGTTGTTGCACGCAGTATATAAGTCGGAACGGGCCGGATCGGGCGACTATATAGGATAGCTCCCATACGAGAGAATGAAATTGAAAATTCTAACTCCGTTGTTTTTGATCAGATCGACTTGATTCCTTCCAGATGGCGTTTTCTAACTGCTATTGAATTTCGGATTAAATTTGATCAAAATCGGATAACTCCATCATATAGCTGCCATAGGAGAGATCAAAAAATATATATATAAAAAATGGAAAAAAATTATACTGTCGTTGTTTTTAATGCCACGACAATGATTTTTGGAACATCAAGTTTTTCAAATACTCTTAAATCGAGGAAAAAAATTTCACAAAAATCGGAGTACTATATCATATAGCTGCCATAGGAAAGATCGAAAAATCTATATAGAAATAACGGAAATAAAATTATTACCTCGTGGTTTTTCATCAGACAACCATGATTTTTGGCATATAGAGTTTTCCAATGAGTCTTGAGTTACAAATTAAATTTCATCAAAATCGGACGACTATATCATATAGCTGTCATATGAACAATATGGAAATCGTCATAGATTCGATGCTGTTTAGCCTTTTTGTATTTTCTTAGACATATTTAATGACTGCAAGGGTATATAAGCTTCGGCTTGCCGAAGCTAGCTTCCTTTCTTGTTATTAGTAAAAATAAGGGCTGTGTGGAATATTTATGACAACTAATTAATAGGTATATGTAAATAAATTAAATTAATTAATTAATTATCTTATGTTGTACACAATAAACTTCCATGTAGTAGTATATAGACTGATCGACTCGATAACGCTTCAGAAGGTATTATAATTTGTTTATCAGTATTAAGAGGCGTGTTGCGATAGTCGTTCCAGTCGGTCCGCTTTAATGCAAAGTAGTATTAGTAGTATTACGTTGTTTTGCTATTTTGACAGAATTTGGACGTATACTTTACAAAAGTTCCATCGGAGCTATATACAGTTTAAGTACAGTAGAATCCTGTTATAACGACTCCGCTTATAGTGTCCGTCCGGGTATTGCGACGAAAACTCGATGGCTTGATTGGTCCCCAGACAGACTTACACACTTAAATCCTTCTGCTTATATAACGACGAAAAGTCGTCGGTCCCTTGAAAGTCGCTATAAGCGGATTCTACTGTACTAATATAGCCACATTGTTATCGGCATGGACAAGCACATTCAAACTAATCTGTTCTGTCAACATAAAAAGGTATTCAATTGTGGGTAAAGTCTTCTGCCGAAAAACAGGATGCGGTTATTCTTAGGAAATACATGCTGAACTATGTTCCATTAATAAATTTTATAACTTAGGGAAAAGTTATGGCGCCGCGCGGGTCAAACTTTTTGCCTTGTCGTCAGCTGCTACAATGTCAATAAGTAAACTCAATATCAGGATTGGGGTACGGCATCTGGTAAATTACCAACTTACGCTTGATTTTTGTCCTCGCTCTGTCCTGATCTGAGTAGCGATTAGCACATCAAGCGCTTATTAATAGCGTAGAAATAAATATGGGGGCAAAAACTTTTGTCATTATTGGTTATACGAAGAAGAAGACACACAGAAAACAGTTGACAAACGTTTTTTCTTTAATTACCCTTATATCCTGATGCTTGCGTAGTTTTCATGTGCCGAAAGTTAAGACAGAGATTTACTTGTGTGAAGATTTAAGTTTTGAGGTGTTCTTAACTAAATTAAATATTTGTTGACAGTTTGTAAATAATTTTCGACCACATCTGGTTTGATATGACACCGCCAGTCAATTTTGCTTCTAAAAACACCAGCATTGTGTCCCACTTTAGAAGTTATATGATCCTTGATCGCAGGAAACAGTTAAAATATTCAAAAATTAATAAATTTTAAGTCGTTTCGCGCTTCCTTACAAAATTTGCACAGCTTCCTTAATGAAGGCTCCTTCGCAACGCAGTGAAGGAGACACCTCAGACCCCATAAAGTATTTATATTCTTGATCAGCATCGCGATCTCAATCGAAATACGTCTGTACGTCTGTACGTCTGTCCGTCTGTCCGGCTGTCCGTCTGTATGTGATTTTTGGAGTATAGAGTTTTCCAACGACTCTTGAATTTCGAATTAAATTTCATAAAAATCGAAAGACTATATCATATAGCTGTCATATGAACAACAGTCGAAAAAAATAGCCTTTATGAATTTTGTTCCACATATTTAATGACTGCAAGGGTACATAAGCTTCGGCTCGCGGAAGCTAGCTTCCTTTCTTGTTAGGTTTAAGTAAGAGTATTTACCAATGGAACAACATCCAGCCCTTTTTTGGCACCGAATTTTGACATTTAAATCAAGCTCCAACCGCTCAGAAAAACCTCCTCCTCAATCTCTTCCTTTTTTACCACAAACAGTGCCGCCCAACATAGACGACGCCCTCACATCCAGTGACATCATCGTTCGCGAAGGCGATAACGTGACTCTGCGTTGCAAGGCGAAAGGCAGCCCCGAACCGACCATCAAGTGGAAGCGCGACGATGGCAATAAAATAGTGATCAACAAGACGCTTGAAGGTGAGTGCCAAACTCAGCCCGTTGGCCGCGACTCACTTTCCCTATTTTTGAGCAGTACACGACCTGGAGACGGACTCCCTTGACCTGGAGAGGATTTCGCGCCTGCACATGGGCGCCTACCTGTGCATTGCCTCGAATGGAGTGCCGCCCAGCGTGTCGAAGCGGATCAAGGTCAGCGTGGACTGTAAGTCGATGAGTTCTGCGAAATTACTTCAAGCTAAGCCACGCTCTAACTGAGGCCGTTTTTGCAGTCTCGCCAATGGTTTGGATACCCCACCAACTAGTGGGCATCCCAATGGGCTTCAACACCACCCTCGAATGCTTTATAGAGGCGAACCCGACCTCGCTTAACTACTGGACTCGCGAAAATGACCAAATGATCACCGAGTCACCTAAGTACAAGTAAGTATAAAACAGACTGCGCAGTCAATGCGCCCTACCTTGCCAATCTTGTTGGGGGTGCTGTGGGTTATCTGCTCCGCAAGTTATCAGCTGTCTGATCAGCACAGAATCCCCCCAGAAAAAGCGGCGGACAACACCAGTTATCTGGGCTCTTAGCTCAGTGCGGTTGCCGCGATGATGTGGATTGTCTGCCTGCTGCTTGTGCCTTTTTGCTGTACGTCTGGAGCTCGAAGGTCCGAGGATGATCGCAACACATGGCTGCTAAACAACACCCTCGGCTATGTGAACGAGAACGCTAGTGCCTGCGTCAATTTCTTCGAGCATGCGTGCGGCAAGTATGGGGCGATCCACATCGACGACCCCTTTACCGAGATTACCGAGATGCTGGACCACAAGGTGAATACCAGATTTGTCCAACTTATGGATGAGCTAAACCAGCGCTCTCGGTTGCGGGGCTTTAACGAGTCGAGCGTGGAAGCCAAAGTCTTGCGCTTTTACCTCACTTGCCGAGGGGCTTCAAAAGAACTGCGCAGTGTGAAAAACTACCTCCGGCTGGCTCCTCCGGACGAGGGCCTCACGTGGCCCCAGCTCACCCCTGGAAGGACCGCTTGGCCTGAGGAGCGGTTTGAGTGGTTGAAAACCCTGGGAGTTCTGCACCGCTACGGCCTCACCAACGTTATTGTTAGCGTGCTGGTGATTCCGAGTCTTTCGAACAGCAGCGAGTTTCTGTTGGACCTCAGTATGCCGAGCTTCCAGGAGGGTTCAAGTTTCACGGAAACCCTCGCCGCTCTTCGCGTTTCGGGGGTGCCGAGGAATAGTGCACCACCTATCGCTCGAAAGATCAGTAGGCTGGAGTCTGCTCTGCGGGTCCTAGCCGAGTCAGACAAAGATGATGAGGATAAACTGATGAACGTGGATCAACTGGAGCGCAGGACCGGCCTCAACTGGCGAAAGTTCGTCGAGTTGGTAATTGGGCACAGCATTTCTCCGCAGTTTCGCGTGCAGGTCCGCAATTTGATCTACTTCGCAGGCCTGAAGCGCATAATGGATAGCTCGGACGCCCAGATGGTGGCCAACTATATCATGGTTCGATTCGTGCGATACCTCCTGGAGGAATCCGAGGACGACGGACATGCGATCGAGTGCATTAAGGTGATCCGCCGTAGCATGGGTCCGGCCTCGAACTTGATCTACAAACAGCGTTTCTTAGCCCCCGCGAAGCTACAGCAGTACACTCAGGAAATAGTGAAAATATTCGACCAGGTGCGTCAGCAATTCTTGATTCAAATCGAGAGAAATAGCCTTCGGCTAACCACAAAGCAGAGAACGATGGTCGCTACAAAAGTACGGGAAATCATCCTTAACATCGGCAACATTCCCAGAACCCTGGATTATCGCACACTCGTGAGCCGACACTATGAAAACTTGACGTTTCCGCCAGGAGACCTGGACTACTGTCGAAACCACCTCAAGGTTCTGGAGATCCGAACCAAGATGGGAGTGGCGCAACTTGATCGACCTGCTATGACTCGCGAAGAGTACTGTTACCTTTCTGATGAGAACTCTGCTGGTCCATATTACCTCAGGCGACAGAACGTCATTGTCTTGCCTTTTGCTCTTCTGCAGGAGCCGCTCTTTGTACCGGGCAGCCATGATGTGTTTAAGTACAGCCTGCTGGGATTCCTTCTCGCTCACGAGCTGGCCCACTCCGTCGACTCCGATAGTGTTCATCTCGACAGTCTCGGAAACGTGCACCAAACCGGCATAGAAATACTCAGCTCGTCCGCGTACACGGCAGGCTTGGAGTGCATGAACCGCAATCCGACCCAGTACCTCGACGAACGCTTTGCCGATATCTATGGTGTGGACCTCGCCTATTCCACCTACACCAGGATCGCCAGTGAAAAAAACCTTCGGGATTTCGCCCATATTTCCTTAGAGCAGATATTCTTTCTCAATTTAGCACAGTTTTTTTGTGGAGACGGCGCTGCAACCAACTTTGTTGATCACGACGACGACAAGCTGCGCTTGCAGCAAATACTGAGCGGGTTTGTCCCGTTCCACAGAGCTTTCGGCTGTCAAAGTAGTTCCCAGCACCAAAAATGTCAGGTGTGGTAAGCCCAGCATTGAGCTCCTGATGAACAACTGTTGAACAGCCTGTGACGCAGGGTTGTTATCTATCATTTCTTTTGCAGGGAACTGAAAATATAATAACCTTCCAAGCAATTTACAGGCTTTCTTAACCAACAACTATTCAAAACAATGTAACTTTCATGTTTAAACACTTATGGAACCATATAAATATATGTTTAAATTAAATTAATCACTATTAATTCAGGGCTGAGTTCATAATAAGCTTTTGTGAAAAGATTTCATGAAAAAACTGTCGCATAAACTCAACATGTGAATAAGCTAAGTTCGTCAGAGTTAGTCTTACTTTTCCCGAACGAAAAAAAACCGATAGCCAAAATGAACCGAGTGAATGTATGAAAAACAAAACGGTCCCTTTGAATATTTTTTAATGTTTGGATTATATTTTTTGATGAAAAAAACTTAATTTGAGCCCATCAGGGCCATCCAAATATAATCTATAGGTACACTAAAAAATATTAAAATAAAGCTTGTAAGGAGCCTTTAAGAATAGCTTACTGAGCGCCAATTCGTTTCAATATTTTCTTCTGCAAAATTGTGCCGCGCCTGACGATGGATCTCGGTGATTCTTGGAGAACTTGCCATTTTTGATGGCACCAAGTGTTGGCAAGTGTGTAAAGTCCGCCAAATGGGGGTTTTAGACACTTTGTTGCCCTCATAATGAGCCAAACCGGCGCAGGACATGGTGGAATTGGAAGCTTTTTTTAATATAAGCCGCTTATCTTGAACGTTTAACTTTGTTTTTTGGAGCCCTTTATAATTTTTTTTTAGTTTTCATTATCTGCCAATAAATCGTGTACAACATTTCGCGATTTTTTTTATTTTCGTGGCGATTTGGCTCACATTAAGGCCTTAGTCCAAATATGCATCAATTTTGCCCCATCCATTTTCCCATCTTTATCCTGGAGTACCGATCTAAGGCCTATTTTAGTTTCAGTTGATCAAAAATAGCATCAGATTGAAAAAGAAACGTTTTAAACAAACTGCGCACTGTACACAAATGATTACTGACAACTGTCCTTTCCCAATGAAACGATTTTCAGCATGCAAAATACCATGCAGCAGTGCAAAAACTCAAATAAAAAAGTGGGGAAAGCAATAATGAAAAAATGTAACTGCATTTTAGAATCACAATAGAACAGAGATTAGAATTAAAAAAAATTGTAGCTTTCTACGATCTTTGTCTTCGCTAAGAGCGATTAACTATAAAAGTTGATTGATATCCAAATGAAACGAACTGTATAAGCTTCCGCTTGCCGATGCTAGCTTCCTTTATTGTTGTACTTAATATAACATATACAAATATTTAACGGGTTGCTCCTAATAAAAACTATCTTGCCTTGAACTTCGACGATTTATACTCGTATAATTTAATTCTGTGGCATCACATTTTTTGTTTGTATTCGAGAGTCGTTAGACAACTCTATATTCCAACAAGAAAGGAAGCTAGCTTCGGCAAGCCGAAGCTTATATACCCTTGCAGTCATAACGCATAAAGGTTAGACAACATCGAATCTAAGACGATTTTTCTATTCATTTTCCATATTTTTGACTATAGATCATATGGGAGCTATACGATATAGGTGTCCGATTTTGATCAAATTCAATTCGTAATTCAAGAGTCGTAAGAAAACTCTATACTCCAAAAATCATACTTGTCTGATGAAAAACAACGATGTTATAATTTTATTTCCATTATTTCTATATAGATTTTTCGATCTTTTCTATGGCAGCTATAAGATATAGATGACCGATTTTTATGAAACTTTTTTCTCAATATAAACGTTGTTAAAAAACTTGATATTCAAAAAATCATGCTCGTGGGATAAAAAACAACGATATTATCAATTTATTTCCATTAATTCTATATATAATTTTCGATCTCTCCTATGGCAGCTATATGATAGAGTTATCCGATTTTGATCAAATTTAATCCGAAATTCAATAACAGTTAGAAAATGCCATCTTGAAGAATTCAAGTCGATCTGATCAAAAACAACGGCCTGAGAATTTTGTATTTCATTCTCTCATATGGGAGCTAACCGATATAGTCGCCCGATCCGGCCCGTTCCGACTTATATACTGCGTGCAATAACTACACACCTTTTGGGAAAGTTTCATCAAGATAGCTTTAAAACTAAGAGACTAGTTTGCGCGGAAACGGATATTATCAATTCAATGCCACGAGCATGATTTTTGGAACATAAAGTTTTTTAAATACTCTTAACCCTCTAATGCCACTTTTCACAATAACGCATGTGAAATGAGTGCCTCAAGGCACTCTTGGGACTTAGAGGGTTAAGTTGAGAAAAAATTTTTATAAAAATCGGAGTACTATATCATATAGCTGCCATAGGAAAGATCGAAAAATCTATATGGAAATAACGGAAATATAATTATAACCTCGTTGTTTTTTATCAGACAATAATGATTTTTGGAATATATGTAGAATTTTCCAATGAGTCTTGTGTTAAAAATTAAATTTCATCAAAATCGGACGACTATATCATATAGCTGTCATATGAACAATATGGAAAATTAATAGAAAAATCGTCATAGCTTCGATGCTCTTTAGCTTTTATGTATTTTGTTCGATATATTTAGTAACTGCAAGGGTATATAAGCTTCGGCTTGCCGAAGCTAGCTTCTTTTCTTGTTTTTAATTCAAGGCTGGTTAAAAAATTAGATTAAAAGCAACGGAGGTATCAATTTATTTTTCTATATAGATTTTTCTATTTTTCCTATGACAGCTATTTGATTTTTATGAAATTTAATTCGAAATTCGATAGTGGTTAAAAAACACAATCTAGAAGAAATCAAGTCGTCCTGATTATAAACAACGGGGTAATAATTTTTTTGCGAGCATTCGTATGGCCCGTTCCGACTTATATACTGCGTTCAATAACTACACACCTTTTGGTAAAATTTCAGCAAGATAGCTTTAAAACTGAGAGACTAGTTTGAAGAGAAACGGACAGACGGACAGACGGACAGACAGACAGACGGACAGACGGATAGACGTGCAGACGTATTTGGATTCTGATCGTGATGCTGATCAAGAATATATAGAGTATATACATATACTTTATGGGGTCTGAGGCGTCTCCTTCGCTGCGTTGCACACTTCTGACTGAAATTATAATAGCCTTTTGCTCTGCAAGAGTATAAAATTACGCAACGGTGATGTTAAGTCCCGAGTTGGTGAATATGAATTGGTATTTATTAAAAAAATTTTTAATTTTTAACAATTTTTTTTTTTTCGATTTTTCTAAGAGAGAAATATGTCAAGAACATTGTGTAAAAATTTTGAGACAATTAGAGTCAAACTAACGGAGTTACAGCGTTTTAAACGACCGAATTTGGCCGTATTTTCACGTAACATATAAATATACCTACTTTAAATCGATTTTCCCGAAAACTTTGTTTTGAAAGTGTTCACCGACTTTCAGAACTCAAAATCTACTTAACCCATCCTTTTCAAATTTTTAACACATATTCTCCACATAAATACGCAGATAATCAGGAAGAGTTTTTTTTAATTTTTATTTTTTTTTTAATAAATTAACAACAGTTTTTCAAGCTAAAATCGCACTTTTCACTTTCAAGTGCTCCCAAAAAATAGACAAAAAAATTTTTTTAAAACTTCCTGATTACCTCGGGAAATTTATTATCTTTAAAACGAATATCACCTTTTTTTTGTAAGATGATCCGTTAACGCCCTATAATGTTCACCGCAAAACAACTTTTTCTTAAGGTGCTTCGGAAGATTAAAAGCCACAGGCATATTTCTAAATATTTTTTAACAATTTCTTTTTCTAATACTCTTCAAAAGTTGAACAATAACATGTAATTAAGCTCAATAAAAATCAAACATAGCCCTTTTTTTGGCCTTTAATACCTTACCCTCCCCCCTTAAAAAAGTTTCCATAGAGTAAATTCTAATTAAAAACTTTTAGGCAACACTGAATAATTCCGATTTCTCAATGTTTGCACGGAGGATTGACATTAAACGGTACCGAACCTCCAGTAGGAAAGGGTCGATGGTCAATGGTCATGGACTGCCACGCGTTTTTGTCCTAAGCTTACCCCTCCCGGGCTCCCGTCTGAACAGGCAGGATCTTTACCAAAGTCGGCACCGCTGGCTGGCTTGCATCTTGGCTCTTTTTTCGCAGCCGAACTCCCTCGAGAACTCCTCAAAGTTGGCCAGCGTCTGCATCACACGCAGCTCGTCGGCGGCGCGGTCCAAAAGGGCCCGCGAGTGGGGCAGAGGGCTAGGGACGGGCGTCCGGCCGCAAAAGAACTGGGCGAAGCTGACAAAGAAGAGCTGTCGCTGGCTGAGCTCTGGCACCAGAGGGTCTCGGGGCTCCCGCTTGTCGGCCCGCACCCCAAAGAAGGTCTCGTAGGCGAGCCGCAGGGCGACAAAGTCGGCCAGTTTCTCGTCGACCCACTTGGAGCCGGAGGCCATCTGCTGCTGCAAGCAGTGGAGGCCCTGTCGGAACTGCCGGCTGGTCCCGAACTCCTCCACAGGCCCCATGATGTTTCCCAGTGCGTCATAGTCCATACCCGACATGTCGAAGCCATGGGCCAGCTCGTGGGCCAGCGCGAATCCCATCACGGCGTGCTGCCGCAGGGCACTGTCGTTGCGGTGCCACACGGGCAGCTGGAGCAGGCCATGGGGCACCAGCACCAGGTTGCGGGGCCTGACGTACAGGGGCGACGAGTTGCTGGCCTCCCAGCTCTCCGCCAGATACCTCAGGCCGCTTCCCGTGAAGTTCTCGGTGAGCAGGCTGTGGCTCGCCTCCACGCGGTGTCGCAGCAGGACCAGCTGGTTTCCATAAAAGGAGTTGCCACTCAGATCGAGGCTGACGTGGTACTGCTCCACCTCCTCCTCCTCTCCTGGCTGCACGAAGCCCACTTGCAGGCGCACAGCACGCAGCTTCTGCTGCAGGATCTGCACGAGGGGCAGCGAAAGCCGAAGCCTGTTCTCAGCCAGGACTTGTCCGAAGCGCGTCTTTAGGCGCTGGAATAGGGCGCGCACTTCGGCCTCGGAATCCGGGTCGGAGAACTGCTGGCCCACGAGCCAGCTACTCGCCAGAGGCATGGCCCTCCTCAGGCTGGCCACGCACTCGCCGCGAGAGATCTCCGCGGGACCCTGCTGCTGGAGGAAGGCCAGCCACTTGAGCATGATGTAGCTGCAGACGGTGTCCGGGCTCTCGGCCTCCACGAGCTCGCTGAGAGCTCTTAGGTAGGGCACGTTTTCAACGATCAGCGTGGAGCGCAGGTCCAACTCGACCTCGGGGCGCAGCTGGCCCAAGAAGGCCAGCCACCGCAGTTGCGGTAGGTATGAGACCAGGTAGCCCAGCTGCATTTCCCGCGGCCCCTCGTCGTCCTCCAGTTCCTGAAGTCGGTGCAGCCTCCTCTCGAACTCGTCTACCAGCCGGGCTAGAGCGTTGGCCGTGCGTTTGGTCTGCCCGATGTCCAGAAGCAGCTCGATAACGGCGCCCTCCCCCATCGGCAGCGTCTGTTGGCGACTCGGCTTGTTCACGTAGACGCTGTAGGCGCTCGAATCGTCCCACCGCGGCAAGACCTCTTCCCTGAGCAGGACGCCGTTCAGTCCATGCAGACGCAGACGTCCCAGAGTCGTCATCCAGTCGAACTGCTCGGGGCGCCAGCCCCGGCTCACGGACGGCCACTGGGAGTGGTTGCCGGGCGGCAGAAGCTGCAGGTACTTCTTGAGGTTATAGGGCTTAAGGCGCTTGCAAGAGCGGTAGTAGAGCCGCATCTGCTGCAGGGTGCGCAAATCCAGCTCGGAGGAGGTCTCGTTTCTGCGCCTTAGCAACAGCTCCACCCTGCGGTTGACCGACTGGTCGATCAGCCCCAATGTGTCGCCGGGCAGCAGCTCTTCTTGGCTGCGCCCCCCGATCGCGGGCCCACTCCCTGTCGCGCGGGAAGTGCTGCTCTTGATGCTCCAGCTGCTGTATCTGCCAGTTGCCGCAGGCGAACTGGTAAAAGTTGTCGCAGGACCGTGCGCCCAAGTCCATGTAGCTCTGCAGCTGGGCGGCCAGCATCTCCTGGACGCTCTGCGCGCCGTTGGTCTGTCGACAGGCGGTGGGCGTAGTGCGCCACGCCAGCGAAAAAATGAGCCAGGCCACTAAGCTGAGCTTCAGCATGGTGGCTTCGAATGCGACAGATTGCAACTGGCCGGAAAGCGATTCGCCCGGATCGTAGAGACTGCGGACTGGCGCCGTTAGTCGCCTGTCAGTCATCATCGTGGCGGGGAGGAATGGTGGGCTAATTGCACGGCTGCCTGCCCGTTTTCCCGCCGGACTGTGGTCGGTTTCTTCTACACATGGTCAATAAGCGGGTTTCAGTGTTGTGAAACACAACATTTTGGTATTATGTATTAGACAAAATTTGATACTTTCAATTAAAAATTTGGAAAGATGGGTTGCAATTATTTCCATTCTATAGCTTTAGGCGGCCAATTGGTTATTATGCGGAAACGATATTGCGTTGCATTTCAAAAATGTTTTCCTTATGCCTCTGTTATACATACATATATTAAACTAAAGTGAACACCGTTGTTCCTATTTTAAAGAGGTCTCCTTAAATCAATTGAAATTTTTGTGTTATTCCAGTGTGCTTCATCACTTAAGGGGCACAACTAGTGTGAAGTTTTAAAAAAATCCAAAAATTTTTTGTTTCATTTCTCGTTAGATTACACCTTTAAAAATAACATATTAAAATTTAAAAGCGATATCTCAAATAGTTTTTGAGTTATAACAATTTAAAGAGCACCCGCTCTCATAACAGTGCAAACGATCATTTTATCTTTAAACGCGTTTTTCTCAAAACAGCATTTTCCAAATTTGCTGCAGTGATAACTCAAAAACTAGTGATCCGATCACTACCAAATTTTTTTACATGTTCTTTATATAGTTCTACGTACCATGAACTATCGGTTTTTTGATCCGATTAAAAATCAAATTTTGGCAGGCCAAAAACGACCAAAATTTTGGTTAAAATTCGATTTTTTTTTTTAAAACGCTGCCATTTTGTCATTTTTTGATATTTGTTTTTTATCGTAGTTCATGGTATGGAAAATATTATCTAGTTTAACGAGAATTTTTCATTTTTTGATTTCGTCCACGGAGAGGGCCGGAATCACTGCAGCAGTTGAGGCACTTTTTTTTTAGCGCCGTTGGAGATCGACTATAACTTAAAAAATATTTAACTTTTTTCTTTAAAAATTTTACTAAACATTCTTAAAACATGTATAAATATATTCTGAAAATTTGAAAAGAATTGATAAAGTAGTTTTTTTTATAAAAATTCCCAAAAATCACCATTTTTTTAGGCCGTCACACTAGTTGTGCCCCTTAATGAAAACCTTTGCACGTAGTTATAATAGGATATTAAAGAGAACTGCTTTAAGGACTATGAAAAGAGTCTTGTTCATAATCGTGACCATCGAAAACAGATTTTTAATTTTGATTGAAGATCGGACTTTCAGTATCTGGAGCCACTGTGCTCCGCTCACTAGGTCGCACTTTGATTAGCCACAAGTGAGCGCTTATCAGTTTCACCTTGGCCTTGATTCCCGATTACCGTTCGTTGCGGCTGACCCACAACGAGCACTCAAGCTGTCATTGAACTTGCCTCACGCTGATGCCTCCGCGTCTCTACTTTCAGAACCGAAACGATTCCGGGCCATCCGTCGTACAAGGCCACCATGCGACTGACAATTGTCAACGTTCAGAGCAGCGATTACGGCAACTACAAGTGCGTCGCCAAAAATCCCCGTGGCGACATGGACGGCAACATAAAGCTCTACAGTAAGTGCCTAGTCATATATACTACATGTGTGTATGTGCATGCATGTTAAATGTGCGTGTGTGCATGTTTTATTGAGCCACAGTCGTGGCGAAACTGTGGTTACACCCCGTCATACACACATACATCACATAAAACAACATCAAATTCAAAACTCAGAAATTTTGTGGCTTTAATTATGTCGTCGGCTGGTACAGTCGATTATTTGGGTTTCAGTGCGACTTATTCATAACGATTGTTTCAAGTTGTTCGTAACTGGTTTCATGATTTTGAAACAACCGCTATTGATTACCCTGGCCCTAACAAAAAAAAAAATCAAAGTCAATGCGAGCAATCCACTATTTATTAAGAGTAAATAATAGGGGATGCCCCCTAATTCTAAATCCCGAATGCAAGAAGAATATGAGCAATAAATCATTGTGCAAAAAATACAACGACGTTTATACTAGTAAAATTAAAGATCAAACGACTATATTACATAGCTGTAATGGAAATAAGAAATCTGAACAATGAATAGGAACATCTAAAAAAGATTTCTCGAATTTTATGAAAATCGGATGACTAACTTCCAAGGGGAAGATCGAAAAATCAATATAAAATTAATGGGTCAGAATTATAATATCTTTTTTTTTTATCAATTCAGTATGGAATATGAAAAAATCTAGGTGGATGCGATAGTTATATGATATAATTTTTCAATTTTAATTTAATTTAATTCGAATTTTTCATTATTCGACTATATTTTCGACGATTGTCTATATGGCAAATATAAGCTGCGGCTCTTCGAAGCTACATAGCTCCCTTTTTTGTTATTCAATTATGCAATAGAAGGCACATACAGTGAACATTTTTTAAAATTTTCGAGATTGGCATAAAAGTATTTTTATGAGCTTTATATTCATTCATCGCTAGAAAAGTCGATGTCCAAAAATCATTCTTGTAAGGTAAAAACAACGATGTTAAAATTTTGTTCCGTTAGTTTTATATAGATTTCTCACATTCAGTAAATAATTTTTTTTAAAAACATTTATGTATTATTGACATGGCAATTTGTATTGTGGTCGCGTTTAGGGGACAAATTGTTATGGAATAACCCTCGTTAACACGGCACATTGTAAACGCTTTCCCAATTTTCAATTGGAGCTTCTGCTGTCAATTGCCTAAAGTACTCCCCAGTCAGTGAATGGGTCATTAAAGCATTGCAGCATCGATTCCGGTTACAAAAGTTCATAAGGTAGTATAAAATATATATTTTTGGGACGACCACCATTAAAGCCCTTTGCCATCAATTAAGGCCAAAGTGAAAAGCCAACTTAATTTATATATACACGACTTTTATTTCGCTGGCACAACAATGGATGAAGCCCATACAGAAGTGGGTGTCGATCCACCAATTAAAGGTAACAATGACCACGCCAACAATGTGAACAATGAACCTGTGACAATTTTATTGAGTGGTCAGGCGGAGATACAGTCGCAGGACAACGACGTTCACGAAAAGAGGGGTGGGTACAGATTCGTGATTCCCAGTCACGACAAGGACAAGTTCCAAGCTCTATAAATTTGCCCAACAAATTGTCCCCAATATTGCCGACAAAGGGCAACCACGCGAAAGGATTCCTGTCTGTAGGAAATCTTAGGAGGAAGTTATCGAAAAGAAGCGGAGAAGGCGGAGTCAACGATTTTTGTGAATTGACGATGCCCAAAAGTTGAACTCAGTTCGGTCAGTTAGGAAATCAAATATGGCTTAAGCTCTGAGGAAGCTTTTAAAAGTGAGATTTGTAGGGCTACATTCTCATTTACGGGCTGTTTCGTTGACGCTTAGAACAAGGCTTGAGATTGTTAGTAACAAACATTCTTTTAAACGCAAACACGTTTTTAAGTGAATGATGTTGATGTCTAAAGTCATGTATGCTTAAACTTAAAGTCTTCATAATTATTTCTGCATCAATTTGATATATATTTCTCCGTTTTGGCAGCCGCTCCAAAATTAACTAGCCGCAAAAACTACAAAGGCTTTACACACAGACACATAGACAGAAAGGCAGATAAACTGTCGTGTCTAGATCGACTTAGATAGTGATGGTGATCAAAGATATATACATATGTATGTATATACAAAGAAATTAACATACTACAAATTAGGTTATAAGTTGATGAAATCTCTAATAATAGGTAATTAATGCAGTGATATTTGTTGTGTTTTGCTGTATTTTTAAGTAACCCATAGGACAGGTCGTGAGCCAAAGGAAGAGTTTAGTACAACTACGCAAAAGTCTATGGGGCACACAAACGCACAATGATGATTAAGCCGCCCTCTGTGGATGGCGCAATTGCATAACTATATCCCCGAAGTTAACTTTTGTTATCGTCATAGCTGTATTTCGGTCAAATGCGGTGGTGGAACCCCTAATTTGAGCCATGTTACTATCCACGGTATCATTTGCCCTTTTCTCTGTTTCCGTGCAGTGTCGAATCCGCCGACGACCCAACCGCCACCCACAACCACAACGCTGCGACGAACGACGACGACGCCAGCTGCAGTCGTGCCGAACGGACCCCCCAACACCCCCCGATTGGAGTGGACGGCGAAGGACCAACTGGCTCGGGGATCGGAAGCGACAACTGTGAGTTTGGCCAAAGGCACCCGTGTCCTACGACCAATTGGTCTTGCTTCTTTGTTCCAGTGCGCAATAAGTATCAGTCCAGTCTGAACGAGATCGACAAGACGAAGCAGAAGCTGACGGGCAGCAGCCTCAAGGGCTACGACTGGGCTAAGGGAAGGAACACCGGGGTTCTTGGCCCAATCGCCGCCCCCCGCCCGCTGCTCACCTGCTGGCTCCTCACGCTCCTCCCACTGCTGGCGGCAAAGACGTGTGGTTAGTAAGTTAAGGAAACAGATCGTCGAACTCACATCTTATTAATAAAGTGCCATTAGAAACAATAGGAGTGGGGTCGAACAGAGGGGCAGTCGGCAGCCACAACAACATATATTAAATTACCATAGCGACTGCAAACGCTAACGTGTCAGACTTTTACTTTTAACCATGGTCCACTAATGTTTGAACTCGGTCGGTGCAACAATCTACTGTTTTGAGGGTAAACAAAGCCGCCATCAAATTAACCTTCATAATTATTTACAGTGAGGTTGATGCGCTCAGTCGACCTGTTCGAATGATTTTTTATGGTTGGTTCAAAAACTGTTCGTTTATGTTAACTGTGAAAGGAATGCGAAAAACGTTGCGAAAATTGTAATAGATTTTTGAACCGAATGCCCATTTAAACCAAATACACATAAATCCTGGTTAGTTAGTTAACAAAATTATTTAATTAAAGTAAATAAGGGGAAAAATATACATTTCAAATGATGCCAAATTGTTATAAAATAAGCACGCATACACTTGCAAACAAACTGTAAATAAACACGTACTCGTATATTGCATGGAAAATGCCAAATGCAGCTGTAAATTATGTACTCGTTATAGGCATAAGAAATTGATGTTCATTTGTACGAGAGTATACATTCAACGATTTATAAAATAGATATTTAGAAGGAAAAGTCAAGGCTTAAATAATCCCTCAATACAAACAGGCAGGCAGGTAAAATGCATTAATCAAAAAACATTTACATGATACTTACAAAATAACCCCGAAACAAATGACCACTGTTTATACATAACTTAGTTAATTGCTGAGTTAAACGCGGTTCACACTTGAAGCATGATTATATTGCCTCAACCGAAAATCTTAAGTCCCCATTAGTACCCATACAGTAACATATTTAAATACGTACATATATCATAGGCCTTAGTTTGTGTTTCTTAACGATAAGAGTGATAATGTATATTAATGAACGTGGTCCCTGACGGAACACACTGGCGCGGCGAAAGAAATAAATAAAATATCTATGTTTTGGGTTGCTTCTTACATCTTCTAAGCCTTTTATTTCAGGAGAAGGAAGGGAAAACATCACCAGATCATGTGATGACCCCAGCACAGATAAATGCTAAGCATGGCTTTATTGCAAACTTCGATGGTTTGAGATTCTTATTTGATTCCGTGTTTGCGCAGCACTTTGGCACGTGAAATTGTTATTGAACCGCACTCTGCCCCCTTTTAGCTCTGAATGGATTACTCTAGCCACTGGGAATGCACAAACATTGTTATCATTGGCCTGGGCGAGTCTGAAGGGCCTGCAACATTCGAATTTGCTTGGGGGAAAAGGGGAAAACTTATATTTTGGCACGAAGCGTGATGGTTCCAAGACCTCTACGTGGCTAAACCAAGTCTGGACGACAGTAGGAAGCTGGTGAAGCGTTTATCTACCCGAACCGCCCAATTATGCAATCTCATGACTTAACTTTTTTCTTTAAAGTTTATTATTTAAAATATTTGTAACATTACATGTTGACGTCTAGAACTATTTGAAATGAGAGCTGGTTACAAAGTCAAATTAAAGATATGCAGCACTACGGCCTAGACCTGAACGGCCCTGCGGTCCATCAGTGTGTCGAGTATCTTGTCCATGTGCTCGCTGCAGCTGGCCAGGCAGACATCCGCGTACTCGCTGAGAAAGTACATAAAGCTCTCGAGCTGCTCCATCGTGCAGCCACGGAAGCCGTCTTCGCGTCCGATGTTGTCTATGGCGCGGATGACGGAGCGCAGCTTGTGAACATATTGCGGGGTGTTGCGGTAGTGCTCCAGCGAGGCGTCAGCCAAGTTGGAGGGTTGGCCGTAGCAGCGGAGGCGCTGCTCCACACTGCGAAGTTTTCTTTGTTGCTGCTTCAGCGTCTGCATCATCTGCGGCAGGGACATGGCGGGCGCAGCGGGCGCAGCGGCAACCGGAGCCGCCTTGGCGAATAGCTCGTCCAGGGGCACTGGCTCGTAATCTAAGGAGAAAAGGTCGGGCGAAAAGGACAGCCTTCCGCTGTTGTTGCCTAGGCTGTCGGTCTCGAACTCCGTCTGGTCCAAGTCGCTGGTCTTGATCGCCTGGTTGAAGCTGCTGCCATTGTTGGGCCAGGAGTTCTTGCTGCGCCCCTCCAGGCCATTGCTGGCGCCCGTCTGCAGACCCACCAGCATGCTGTAGCTGCTCTCTATGGAATACTTTTGGGTGGTGGGCCAGAACTCCGGCACGCTACTGAACTCGATGTGGTCCACGCCGAAGCGCAACTCGGACTGCTCCTCGTTGAGGAACGCGAACAGCCGCTCGATCTTCTCGCCAGGCATCAGTTTTCCACTGAAGGGCACGGCGAAGTCTCCGCTGGCGAACCAGTAGTGGGAGCAACCTACTACACTGGGCGGTCGCTCTGGCAGCGACTGCCGAGCAGAGTCTGAGCTCGCCCCTCGGCCGGTAAACTTGTGGCCGTCGATTCCGAAGGCCAGATCTCGGATCTCCCAACTCTTCTGCGTGAAGATCTCGTAAAGCAGACGGAGGCGTTCCGGGCTGTTCCTGAAGATTTCCAAAGAGACTGTGAAGTCCCCTGAAGTGACCCAGAACAACGACATAGGCTGGCTAGCTGGAGTCCCGTCCTGGAAGGAGTTCAGTTCGACGGTCGGCGCGTTGGCAAAGAACTCCCGCTCACTGCATGGCGTGGATGGCGAGCTGGAGGCGGCGTCTAGGTCGAGCGGGTGGTCTTCCCGAATCACCTGCATGGCCAAGGAGCTACGGCGAGGCCTATCCTTGCCTTCCTGAGCGAGAATGGGGCTGAATAGTTGCTGCTGCGCCGGACTGCAAGCAAGACGCCCTTTGACGGGCGTTGAGAACCCGGAGGGCTTAGAGTCCGAGCCGCTTGCAGAGGATCCACGCATCGGACTGTTGTCCATCGGATCATTTGAACACGTCTCGAAGCCCTGGTCCACGAAACTGTCCCGCATGGCTTGGCCGAGGGATTGCCTTGGGGTTTGGCTGGGCGACTGATCGCTGTCTGCATTCGGCGAAGGGGAGGACATCACGGTCAGCGTGTATGCCGACTTGATCTTTCGGGGCGAGTTCACATGGCGCATCAGCGACTTGTCCAGCTCGATAAAGCTTTGCTCGGGCAGCGGGAAGTTGCAGCTCGTCGGCGGTTTTTTCTTCGTCTGGGCCAAGGCCGGCGGCTTGTAGTCTGAGTCAGAGTCCGTTGAGGTGACCGCAGTGGCCTCCACGATGGAGTTTTCCTTCTTCCAAGTGAGAGTTCGACGCATCTTCTTCTTTCGCGGCGGCCTTTGGGGCTTTACAAACTCGAAGTCTCCTGGCTGCAAGTCTTCTTTGGGAGTCTCAGGTTGGGACTCGTCGCTGGTTATCTGTGGGATAAAAAACTGTAATTAGACCATGCTTTGCCCCAGTTATAACTGGACTTACCTTGGGTAGGGTAGACAACCCGGACTCGCTCTCTTCAGCCTCTGACTGCTTGCAGCTGGACGCACTGGACTGGGTTTGACTCAAACTTGGCCGTGGGGCTGGAACTGGCGGAGCCTGACGCTTGATGCGGCGCGGAGTGACGGGAACGGTCTCCGACTCAGCCTGAGCCTGATCATGAGGGTGATCTGAAGCCTGGGCCGTATCGACCTCCTTCTCCTCGACGTGTGTTTCCTCCTTCACTCTGTTCTCAATTTCCAACTTGGCTATGGCCTCCTCCAGGAGCCGTTCGACCGCGGACTTTTGGCTCACCTCCGCCAACGGAGAGGCACTCTGCTCTAAAGTCGGCGGTTCCAGGTAATCTCCCTCCTCGGAGGCGATCTCTATGGTCTGCTGACTGTTGGACACACTAGCTATGTCGAACTGCACGCCGTTCTCGGTACTGAGCCAAGTGTAGAACAGGCTCTCGAGATGCTCGTTCTGAAAAAACATTTGGTTGTCGCATCCGATACGCTCCTGCCGAGTGCGGCGGATCTTCTTTGGCGGCGCATAGGCCTCCGTTGGTAGGACGGTGCGTATTGCGGCAAGGTTTCGTTTTTGGGATCGCTCTCGGCCATAGTCCCTTTCTCTTTGACGGTCCAGGCAGCGACGAGTGGTCGCCTGCGGAGCCCTGCGCTCCGGACTGGGCTTAAGGATCACAGTAAGTGTGCTTACGTGGAGCTGAGGAGTAGATAGCTCCATTCTGCTCTCGGCCGCCTTGGGCGGCGAGGCTCCTGCTGGACGCGGTGGCGATCCTGGCTGCAGGATGCACTTCGCCTCCAGCTCCTCCGCCAGATGCTTGACGCTGGCTTGTTGTTCCGCCACCACCTCGCCGCGGGCCACCTGTTTATCCACCTTCGCCTTAAGATCCGCAGCGTGTGCGTTGAACTTTGGGTGTTTGGCTGCCATGTCACCAACAAACTTGTTGAACAGGAGAGCTTTGTCCTTGACGCTCAGTTCGCGGAACACTTCCTCGGCCACCAGGCAGGGTCCTTGGCGATGGGGGTCCGACTTCAGGTGATTTTTGGGCTTGACCTCCGGCGAGAGCTCGTTTTGCAGCTGGACGTAGTGGGGCTCCTCAGCACGGCGTATCACTTGACTGATCTTCGAGTTGAACAGCTGGGCCATCTCCTTCACTTTCACTGGCAAAGAGGCGGACATCCTTCTCGATCCCTGCGGTGCGGAGCCTGGCAATTCCAGGACCGGCTTCTGCTCGTACTTCTGCTTGAGCTCACTGATCTTAAGGTTCCCACTACACACCTTCGGCTTGAGCGGAGAGCCCGCATCTGGCTGGAGGACCAACTTGGCTATTACACTGGCCACCTTTCCTGTGGAAGCAGCCTTGGAGGCCCCCAATGTCTTGGTGGGCGTAACGGGTACTTCTTCGTCGAAGTACTTCATCAGATTTTCTATGCTGGACAGGTCCAGGTCGGTAACCTGAACTCGGCGAGGGGACAAGTACGAGTTCTGATGCTCCAGTGCAGTCAAAAAGCGATCGTCGTCCAGCGAGGAAATCTCAAAGAGCTCCTCCCTGGTCATTGTAGCCCGGAGCAAGCCGCAGGCGCTGCTGGCGTTTCCGTGCTGGCTAGAACGACGGCGCTCCTCAATCTCCGCGTTCAACTGCAGAAGCTCGCTGAGGTCCTCACTGTTCATGGCTGCCGTGTTCACCACCATTTCGTTTTGCTTGTGAGCGTTGTTGGGAGTTGAATTGGTTAGCACCATCTTAAGGTTTGCTCGTTATCTGGTTGTTCACGTTGGACGTTGCAGTTTGTAACTGTGGCTCTGTGGCGCGGAGTGGTGATTCTTATAGCGGACTCAGGTAAGTTATAGAAGTAATCCGTGGACCGGGTGCAAATTTTCTAACAGCCGACCTGATTTCCCAGATTCCGCGTAATCCACTGATCACCGATCAGGTAGCTTAATGGCACAGCTGCCGATCTTATGGGTTTCCCTGCGTTTACCGTGGTTTAATTATTTTCCAGAACTTTTCTTTAAATACTTTTTCCAGGTGACCTGCAAAATCAGAAACAGGTAGATACATAATTTTATGACTTGCAAAGTAATGAATATTGCTCTACCTTTTGACTTGGAACATCTGCAGGGTGGCAGCTGGCAAATAGGTTGTAAATTTTAAATTCCGGTAAAAAAAAGTTAGGAATATTTTTGGAAATATTAACAAGACCCAAGTGATAAAACCACACTGAAAGTTATAGAAGTAAGGATTGAACCAATACAACAACTAATTTAACTTTTACAGTTGGCACCTTATAGAAGTCACTTGACAGAGGTCGAGATAAAAAAATACTAAGATTGTGGCAAAGATAATGTGTAAAAAATAATGTGTTCTAATTGTTTCTCATTAGATTGTTAGAAACCATAACTTTAAAACATAAAATAGTTTAAACAGAAAAAGGCTTCGGCTTGCCAAAGCTAATATACTATACCCTTGTAGTCATCAAATATGCCGACCCAAATGCCTAAAGGGGGAAAACAGCATCAATGCTATGTCAATTTTTCTATGAAGTTTCTATATTAAAGCTATATGATATAGTCGTCCGATTTTTATGAAATTCAATTCGAAATTCGAGAGTCATTAGAGAATTGTACATTTTAAAAAGTATGCTTTTCTGAGAAAAGCAACGATTTGATCATTTTTCTTTCCCGTTAATTTTCGTTAATTCTATAAAGATATTTCGATCTTTCCCATTGCAGCTAGTATATGATATATTTGTCCGAACTTTGGAAATTATTTTCATAATTCAAGACTAGTTAAAAAACTTGATTATCAATCTCGTATGGGAGCTATCCGATATAGTCGCCTGATGCGTCACGTTTCGACTTATATACATACTGCGTACAATAATTGCACAACTTTTGGGTTTTTTGGTTTCAGCAAGATACATAGCTTTAAAACTGAGAGACTAGTTTGCGTGGAAACAGACAGGAGGACAGACGGACATACGTACATACGTATTTCGATTCAGATCGTGATGCTGATCAAGAATATATACACTTTATTGGGTCTGAGGTGTCCCCTTCAGTGCGGGGCGAACTTTTGACTGAATTTCGCTAATTTCGCGCGCACGTGGAAAAGCACTGTAACGTACGATAAAATTGAAACTTAATTTTTATCGGAACTATAGGGTTTTCAGTTATAATATTTCACAGGGTAGTGAGACATTAGGTGTCTAACAATTTTGCATTAAAATCTCAATTTCGAAAAAAAGCGACAAACGATACTTTCGCGGAAATGCGTCGATATGTCGGACGGAAACGGACGGTTATAACTAACACATGGCTTTTAAAATTAATCCGTAAAAGACTAATTTTCGAGCAGTTGCTCGACATTTAGGAATTCGTAACGATAATAGATATTTAAACAAGAAAGGAAGCCAGCTTCGGTAGTCCGAAGCTTATATACCCTTGCAGTCATCAAATATGCCGAACAAAATACATAAAGGCTAAACAACATCGAAGCTATGTCAGTTTTTCTATTAAGTTTCTATATTCTCGATGATCGTTTAATGACAGCTATATGATATAGTCGTTCGATTTTTATACCCTTGCAGAGCAAAGGGTATTATAATTTTAGTCAGAAGTTTGCAACGCAGTGAAGGAGTCACCTCAGACCCCATAAAGTACATATATTCTTGATCAGCATCACCATCTGAATCGAAATATGTATGTACGTCTGTCCGTCTGTCCATCTGTCTGTCTGTCCGTCTGTCCTCCTGTCGGTTTCTATGTAAACTATCTGGCTGAAACTTTCCCAAAAGTTGTGTAGTTGTTGCACGCAGTATATAAGTTGGAACGGGCCGGATCGGGCGACTATATCGATAGCTCCCATACAAGAGGTCAAAAAAATAAAGGATACAAAATTATTACGCCGTTGTTTTTGATCAGATCGACTTGAATTCTTCAAGATGGCGTTTTTCAACGGTTATTAAATTTCGGATTAAATTTTATCAAAATCGGATAACCCTATCATATAGCTGCCATAGGAGGAGTCAAAAAATATATATAGAAATAATGGCAAAATAATCATAACGTTGTTGTTTTTTATTCCACGAGCATGATTTTTACAACATCGACTTTATGAACTACCCTTGAACCGAGAAAAAAATTTCATAAAAATCGGACAACTATATCATATAGCTGCCATATGAACAACAGTCGAAAATATGGAAAATGAATAGAAAAGTCGTCATAGCTTCGAGGTTGTTAACCTTTATGTATTTTGTTCGATTTGTTTGGTGACTGCATGGGTATATAAGCTTCGGCTTGCCGAAGCTAGCTTCTTTTCTTGTTATTACCTTAATTCGAAATTCAAGATGCTCCATGTTTTAAAAACCATGGTCTTGGGATATATGATAGAGTTATCCGATTTTAATAAAAATTTAATTAAAAATTCGGCCGTAGTTGAAAAACACCATCCGGAAGAAATCATGTCGACATGATCAAAAACAACGCAAAACAAAGCAAGATAGCTTTGAAACTAAGAGACTAGTTTACATAGAAACGGACAGAAGTATTTCGATTTAGATCGTTATGCTGATCAAGAATATATACGGTATATTACATGGGGTCCGAGGGGTCTCCTTAATTGCGTTGTAAACTTCTGACTGAAATTATATTACCCTTTGCTCTGCAAGGGTATAAAAATATTTACATACAAATCGGACTGCCACGAGTATTTCATATAGCTTTCATAGAGATACGAAAATTATCGCAAAATTTTTCAGAACTAAATAAGTATACTCCATCACTGATGTTGTAAGAATCGAAAATCTTCTTATGAGGAGGAAAGGTTTGTAAGCTTCTTGACAATGCAGTCAGTAAATGTGTCAAACAAAATACATAAAGGCTAAACAACATCGAAACTATGACGATTTTTCTATTAATTTTCCATATTTTCGACTATTGTTTATATGACAGCTATATTATATAGTCGTACGATTTTTATGACACTTAATTCGAAATTCAAGAGTCATTAGAAAACACTATATTCCAAAAATTATGCTTGTCTGATGAAAAACAACGGTGTTATCAACGGTAAATTCTATATAGATTTTTCGATCTTTCCTATGGCAGCTATGTGATATAGTTGGCCGTTTTTTATGAAATTTTTTCGACATTCAAGGGTAGTTTATAAGTCAATGTTCTAAAAATCATGTTCGTGGAATAAAAAACAACGACGTTATATTTTTTTGCCATTATTTATATTTCTTTCAGATGGGGTTTTTTAACTACTAACGAATTTCGAATCAAATTTCATAAAAATTGGACGACTATATTATAGGTATAGCTGTCTTAGAAACAATTGGTGAAGTATATATGTAAGTTAACACTACTGAGGGGTAACAAATTTACGGAAATTAGTGAACTTAGAAATCTCGGGTGATTCTTGGATCACCCTAGTCTTTCTAGATGCCGACTTAGCATACCCGCCTTTGGGGGCCGTGCCTGGGTCCCATTGGTTCCCGGTATGGTGAGTTATGCTCATTTTGCGATCGTCAGCGTTTTCCATTGTCATGCGGTCGGCCTGCCGACTAAGGTCCCTTTTTCGTACAGCTAAGTTCCTCAGTTCTGTTTTATAATTATTTGAATAAAAAGCACTTAGCTCCATAAACTTTACTCCGGCTATAGCCGCTATATTATTTGCATTCGCCCACTGAGCTTAAGGCCAGGGGTATAGGGGGCAGTCACCCTCTCGACTTAAACTTCATTTTACACATCATCAACCACCCAACCGGTGGCACACCATCAGCGGCCACCTGGGAGCAGCAGCCCGGCCGCCAATTTTCATCGATCTTGACACTCACTGCTACTCAGCAAGCACTCTACCGGTGCCACCTCATCATCGGCCTGATCTGGAGCAGCTTTACCACTGAGCAACCGACTATAAGATGACTTATATAATGAAATGAAAAATCGACATATGTAGCTTCGTTACCGCATTTTGCTCAACGTTTGTGATGACTGCAAGGAATCACTAAACTTCATAATCAAAAATATTGGCGATGCAACTAATATCTAACTGAGGCCAAAAGACGCAAATGCAATTAATTTATAATATGTATTTAATAAATTTAAATATGAACAAAAGTTTTTTTTACAAAAAATAAAACAAATTTGAATAAACAACGAATGACCTTTTCAAAGTTAATTATGTTTGAAATAAAAAAATATGTTGTTTTTCCTTCAATTTGCACTTTCAAAGAGTAAAGAGGTCAAAGAGGTTATCGAGACAAGAAGTTTAAGGAAAGCGAAGTAAACTAATTGCATTCTTATAATGTTTTTACATTGGGGATTAGTTTTGACAGTTTTAAAATTTATTATGAAAAAAAACGGTGCGCATGGGCAACCCAATTTTATACGCATGCCCCATCCCAAAACAATATTTTCAAACCCTTTTTGAATGTTGATTTTTTTTTCAATCATCCACTCCATAATTCCAGCTGATGGAGCTTAGCTACGTTTTAAATGGCAGTGGGTATAGTAGTTGGCCGGTGCAATCTTTTTAATCAGCTAATTAATCCCATCGCATTTGGTTCGACATGTGTTGGAAAAAGGGAAGATTCAGCTTCCACCTTTCAACACATTATTATATTCCCTTAAATGTATTTAAACATTATGGAAAATACAATAATTGCTTTTAGATGATGATTTTATTTACTTGGTAGCTTTTTACAATTTTTTTTAAAGTCTAGCTCAGTTTCTTCAAATTTGTTTGTTGATGGGAATGAAGAAGCAGCTGGGTTTAAGGTGTAAAAAAAACCCGGGGTTAAAAATGGATTAGTTAAAGGACTATAGTTTATGCTGCATTAGAGAAGTATTTGTTGATCAGCAATTGGAAAAGACAGTCAGACAGTGCTTTCTAACTTTGTGAAGTGGACCTAATCTCATGTTGAAGTACTTTCCTATTTTACGAGGAACAATTCGAGGTTTCAAATGATAATGACGACCAGGTTTTCCTGGAAATTAGAAGGAGCATAAAGCAAAAAAATAACTTTTTAGAAGTTTTTTGTACGAATCTGCAATAGTTGCGAAGTGGTAATGGAAAAAGTATTTAAAAAATGTGTTATTTTTATCGAAGATATAAGGTTGTCCTATACTATGCTTTGCCAAAGCCAAATCGAATTAATAAACCATTTTTAAATAAGCAATACTTCAACAACATAAAAGCAATATTAATTTAATAAAATTAAGCATCGACGAAAATTCCCTAAGGGACGGGAGAAATGATATCTAAAAAACTATTACAAAATTCTTTTCGAAAAACAGTGAAATATTTTTTGCATGCCCCGGTGGCACAGGCAAGATCTTTTTATTGATTTTGTTTTTGGCAAAAGTACCTTTCCCCCAAAAGATAGCATTAGATGTTTGCTCCTCAGGATTCGCTGCTTTATTGGTGATTGTAGCCCGCAAAGCCCACTCCGCATTCATATTTTCCCTGTATTTGATAAATGTAAAAATAGAAACACCATCTCAGCGGTCTAAGATTCTAGATTTTTGTTTGGGATGAACGTGAAAAATATTTGCGGTAATAACATTTTGATGGGAGGAAGGAGGTTTTCGACAAACACTTCCTTTAGTTCAAGGAACAAATGCAGATAAAAATAAAATTTTGTTTGCAGTCATTTCTTATTTGGCGTTCTATCAAAGAGTTGTCTTTATCCGTGTCAATAAACCCTTTTGATGTTGAAATGCTTCTTTTAAGTTATTCTGATTCTACAGTTGAAGAAGCTTCTCCAAGTGTCCCTTACACATCCTTTCTTTCACTTTATATTGGAGCACCAACTATGATAAAACGTGTTTAATTGAAGCTGCTCTAATAAAAAAAATTACCCACCTGGATTCAAAATGTTTCGCCGGCCCTGGCCATCATAGATTGTCAAAAAACATTTTTTATCTTCGCTTCATCAGTCGTCTGTCCTATGGCTACATCGAATCGAATACCCAGCCAAGGGAATATTAAGGGTATGGTAAGAACAAATTTGGCGGACTAGCGTTTTTAGTGTTTTTACAGTACAACAACTTGTCTTGTATTGAAGACCAAGAACATCAAAACAACTTTATTTCTGCAAACTCTTCGTTTATTATACTTACTTTTTTGTAGAACTCAGAAAAACTTGCTTGCGAAATCATAAGAGACCCAATTTGCTTTGCCTTTTTGTTATTATTTTTTATATTAAATTCAAGCCCGCGAAAAGGCGAGACATTGTCGCAAAAGAAAGAATTTCTGATCGTTTTCACACTCCTTTTGTCGCTTTCTCAAAATAGAACAGCTGTTAATACGGACAGTCACCACGAGCCGCCTGTCGTCTGTAGGCGGCAGCATCATTAAAGCTCAGTGTTTTCCAAACTTTAACTTAAACCCTAACGGCTGTCTCTTGACAGAAACTGTTATACTCCCTTTAAAGGTAAAAACAAAGTTTTTAATTTATTTGTATTTTTTCCAAAAATGAATGTAAGGTACAATGAATGTAAATAAATATAGGTATTTAGGTAATAGGTATTTAAATAGAGAGCAAGAAAGGAAGCTAGCTTATATACCCTTGCAGGCCTTAAACATGTCGAACAAAATACATGTCATTTTTCATATTGTTCATATGACAGCTATATGATATAGTCGTCTGATTTTGATGAAATTTAATTTTAAACTCAAGAAAAACAACGAGGTAATTATTTTGTTTCCGTTATTTCTTTATAGATTTTTCGATCTTTCCTATGGCAGCTATATGATATAGTACTCTGATTTTTAAGAAATTTTTTCTCGATTTAAGAGTATTTAAAAAACTTGATGTTCTAAAAATTCTGCTCGTGGGATTAAAAACAACGACATTATATTTTTTTTTCATTATTTATATATATATTTTTTGATCTCTCCTATGGCAGCTATATGGTAGAGTTATCTGCTTTTAATAAAATTTAATCCGAAATTCAATAGCAGTTAGAAAACGCCATCTGGAAGAAATCAAGTCGATCCGATCAAAAACAGCTGCCTGAGAATTTTTTATTTCGTTCTCTCGTATTGGAGCTATCCGATATAGTCGGCCGATCCGGCCCGTTCCGACTTATATACTGCGTGCAATAACTACACACCTTTTGGGAAAGTTTCAGCAAGATAGTTTTAAAACTGATAGACTAGTTTGAAGAGAAACAGACAGACGGACAGACGTATTCCGATTCTGCTCGTGATGCTGATCAAGAATATATATACTTTATGGGGTCTGAGGTGTCTCCTTCACTGCGTTGCAAACTTCTGATTGAAAATATAATACCCTTTGCTCTGAAAGGGTATAAAAAAAAACATTTCGCTGCGTATTCATGAATAGTATCTAAATGTGTTTGCATCAAAGATTTACGCGGGTTGTGGGTTAATAGTAGGGGTTGCAAAAAAAAAGTAACAATCTTTCGCAGAGTAAAATTTTAGTCCCAATATTTTTCAAATTTCGTTCGAACGGACAGACAAACAAACAAAGAGCGACTACTCTGGTGATCTTGATCAAAACAAAAAGTCGTTTATGGAATTGCATATTTGTATTTATAGAAACAAATACAATATACACTTATACTTTACAAATAACAGATATCGAGTAAGGAGTACCGATTGAAAGGCTGCAATACTCAAAATTATGATACACATTTTTATAATCTTGCAGAGGGTATTATAATTTCAGTCTGAAGTTTGCAACGCAGTGAAGGAGACACCTCAGACCCTATAAAGAGTATATTTTCTCGATCAGCATCATGATCTGCATCGAAATACGTCTGGCGTCTGTCTGTTTCTATATAAACTAGTCTAACAGTTTTAAAGCTATCTTGCTGAAATTTTACCAAAAGTGGTGTAGTTATTGCACACATTATATATGTCGGAACGGGACAGAACGGCTACTATATCGGAATGCTCCCATATACGTGAGATGGAATAAAAAATTAACACGCCGTTATTATTAATCATGTCGACTTGATTTCTTCCAGATGGCATTTTTTAACTACTATCGAATTTCCAATAAAATTGTATCAAATTCGGGTAGCTATATCATATAACTGCCATAGAAAAGATCGAATAATATAACGTCGTTATAACATAAAGAAAAAATTTTTATAAAAATAGGACAACTACATATATCATATAGCTGCCATAGGAAAAATATTAATAGAATTAATGGAAATATAATTATAACTTCGTCTTTTTTTATCAGACAAGCATAATTTTTGGAATATAGAGCTTTCTATTGACTCTTGAATTTTAAACAATTGTTAAGGATATAGAAACTTATTTGACAAATCGACATAGCTTCGATATTGTTAAACTAGCTTCCTTTCTTGTTTCAAGTTTTTTTTCCCTTCCCTACTCTCTATAAAGAATTAATAGAAACAAAAATGATAACGTTATTTTTTCATTTTTGGTATATAGCGCTTCTTAGCGATTCTTGAATCTTAAATTAAATTTCATCAAAATCAGACTATTGAATGCAGCTGACATAGGAATAATCATTGAAATTATAGAAAATTTAAAGTAAAAAAAAAAAAGATAGCTTGATGTTTCTTACGATAATAAGAACGATAAGTTATTTCTATAAAGATCGGGCTACTATATCATATAGCTGTCATAAAAATAAAAAAATTAATGGAAGATTCGCCAGACTAGAGATGAACTATATAAGTCACTATGGCGCTGGCGTTGGAAGGATCGAACTAACAATCTGAAAAAAGCAGGAAACAAATTTTAATAGAGTGCAAGACCTAAAAATTCCTGGAAATATGAATGAGATCGGAGGTTGGAGATCCTTGGTAATACTTACATTTAATAATTTGTTTTTTTGTTTGGTATTATAGTAACCTACAATAATATAGCAGCCACAAAGTTATTTAATTCATTTTAATTGATTTACTTTTAATTGTACCATAGTTAAGCGGAAATAAATGACAAATAAAAAAAATCAGATGAGTAATAATTTCAGAAAATTTAATTCAAATTTAAAAGCGTGTGGCAGTAAAACAGGTGAAATCCCTTGCCATAAATCTGGAAAAAGTTACCAACGAACGCACATTTATTGAAAATGCTTTAAATTTGTTTATGCAAGCCAACGCAAAAGACGGGGAGGGGATAGCAAGTGGCCTGACGGTGTGTGACAAAGAGAAAATCAAGCGAAAATTATTTATATTAAAAATTTCACTTTTTGGCACACAACTCATTATATTCCATTCCTCCAAAAACGAGGAAGAGTACGGGCAAAGCGTCATAAAGTATAAAGCGAAATATGCAGTTTAATTTATTAATTTATTAAAAGGCTCGCCAAACGAAATTAATCTCCCCCTTCGAACCCACATATTACCAGGCCAAAGAGAGTTGAAAAGAATGCCTACTGGCTGCTTTGACTGCTCCGCTGCATCTCTGCAAAGGATGCAGAATGGGCCACAGTGGTGCCTCGCTGAATTAAAAGTGGCTCATGTCATGCATGCTATCACTTGGGTAGTTGTAAGGTATTTTTCATAATGGCAACTTGTTTTCTTTTAACTTTACAAACCGCAGAAAAATACCCTCGGTCCCCATCATTTTTATGAGGAAAATTAAAAAAAATGGATACTATTGCCTTATTTAGCAAGACATTTATTTAGTGCCCCGTCCATATCTATAGATTAGATCATAGTTGCAGACGAACAATGGATTTTAGGTCAGCTGTGCAGAACTTTTCTTACCCTCGGTTAAGTTCGGGGGTCGGCTCAAGCGATTCAGCTGCCCTTCATTCTCTTCCTTGTCCACGAAACCGACCAAATGTACCTACATACCTAAGTTTGGTTAAAATAGTGAATGGTGAATACATTTTTATTCGCACAAGCATATAAAATGGTAACTGGAATTGGAAATTGGTTGGTATTGTGCAATTTAGGTTTTGGATTTAGATCCCTGAAACTAATTCCTATTTATTAATTTATTTTATTTTTATTTAAAAGACCAATAGATTACGTTCGTAATAAAAGAAAGAATTTTAAGAAATCACCTGTTCATCAAAACACAAGAATTTTCCCTAGATATACCCAAGTTACACCCAGAATGTCTGTGCAATAATCATTGAATCTCAGTACACATTAACTTATGTATGTGAGTATGATTATTAATACACATATGTATATACATACATACCCTGTTCACCTCTGCACATCCCATAAAGGGTTTAATCGGAAATTAGCAAGGGTAAGTAATTATTGGTGAACAAAAAAAAAATAAAAAAAGAAAACCCTGCAAGCATTTGGAAGATAAATTTATCCCCTATCGCCTAGAAGACACTTCTTAGTCACTTCTGGAAGATAGAAAGACGATAGAACACATTTTACAACAACAAATATATTAGGTCTACAACTTTGCTCTCGCCGTTTTCCAATAGATGTCTTTAGGGTCAAGCACTGGTCGATATAAATCGATTAAATAGTTTTATATCGAGCCGAATTCTTGACTTTTGCGGGAAATTTTGCTTTTCTTTTTTAATTCCGAGGAAAGTGCTCCTTAAGCTCATCGAATACTTTCGGATACGTGCGGTGAGGCTGTTCTGAGTCATAGAACATGTCGCGAATGCACTATGGGGCATTTGCCCACATTAGGTGGCCAAAACCCATTTTTTAAAAGTCGTTAAAAAAAATTTTTTTAATCTCAATGAGTGAAGATAACATTGAGGTAAAATGTTACGTATTTAAAATTTTAACAGACCGCACTACTGTTAAGATATCAGCTCTCAAAGTCAGCTGTTTTTTAACAGAAGCACATGCTGTAAAATCGTTTGTATTTGTTCAAACTTTAAAAGGGTCAAAAAGCGCATTTAAAACCAACTTATGTAAAATGTGTGAATGGAAGTCTATTCAGAATGGTTTGTAATATGTGTTTGTGAGCTTGAATTCTAAAAATTGATTGTGGCGTCCCTATAATCTTGTGTAAGTTCTAACCTCAAAAATTTGAAACGTAATCGTAAATTTTTGTTTTTAAATAGAGCAACATAGTGAGTCCAGCTCTACAACTTGTTTTATGTTGTAGATTAATCAATTCTTCGTATACTCAGTTAATATAAAAGTGCACTTTTGCGCACTTTCTTCAAAATTTAACTTTTAAGGTGCTAACCTAGCAATAGAAATTTAACACAGTTTGAGAGAAGACATGGCACTTGGCCAAGCTCGCAAACATTTTTACTATAAAAAACGCTAAGAACCAGGTGGACCATGAAAAATAAGTCTGAAAAACAAACATATTAACTAAAAGTAAAGTTTTATACTTTTTTGTTACAGGGTCTATAAAAGTGTTCCGCAAAATACAAAAAAATCGATATAATTATTAAAAAAAAAGTTAGAGTAACAAATTTTTTTTTTAATTGTTTTTTTTTAATAATTCTAGTCAGAAAATAAAAAAATTTTTTTTTTAATATTATTAATTTAAAAAATTTTTTTAATATAAAAAATGGGCGAAGCCACGCCAATTTTTCTTAAAAAACATGCCTTATTTTTTTATTAACTCGAATCAAAAAACAGATCCCAAAAATGTTGATTAGTTTTTAAGTTATTAATAAATGCCACAAAAACTGGTCGTCTGCCCCATAGTGGAATGGTTTAAACGTTTTAAGAATGGTGATTACGAAGTCAAAGACCGGCATGGTGGTGGAAGGGAGAAGATTTTCGAAGATGCTGAATTGGGAGCACTACTTGACCAAGATGCGTTTCAAACCCAAGAGGAGTTGGCCATTTGGAGTTTTCATTTGTTAAATTTCCGGATGATTCAGAGCTGAAAAATCAAAAAATGATAATGTCGTTGCTTTTAATCCCACGAGCATGATTTTTGGAACATCAAGTTTTTTAAATACTCTTAAATCGAGGAAAAAATTTCATAAATATCGGAATACTATATCATATAGCTGCCATAGGAAAGATCGAAAAATCTATATAGAAATAACGCAAATAAAATTATTACCTCGTTGTTTTTCATCAGACAATCATGATTTTTGGAATATAGAGTTTTCCAATGAGTCTTGAGTTACAAATTAAATTTCATCAAAATCGGACTACTATATCATATAGCTGTCATATGAACAATATGGAAATCGTCATAGATTCGATGCCTTTTCGTAGACATATTTAATGACTGCAAGGGTATAGCTTTCTTTCTTGTTAACTCTAATTTTAAACGAACATCTTTATTAATCTGAGTTATAAGTATCAATTTAATAAAGTAATTACTTCCATTAAATATATTCATAATTTTTTTTTTTACATAAGAAAAGGGTTTGTGCTACCATATAAAACATTTTCAATGTTTCTGAAAGCTATTTTTTGTTGCAAGCTTTTATTTGTATTAAAGATACGCTTATAACAAAAAACTATTGTTTTGAAAACTATTGCATCGTAAGTAGTTCTTAAAAATGTTCAACGGTAGCTAAATCTAAAAACTAGAATATATAGAACACCTACAAGTTCCGTTGAGCTTTGGCAAACGCAGATTCAGTATTTTCGACTGATTGATTTTGCTTTAGTGATATTTAGGCACTAAACAGAGACGCATATATCAACATCCATAATCCGTTTTAGTCACGGGTAACTGGTATCTGATAACTGAGAAAGGTATATTCAATGATCATATTTCACTGCTATAGCAATTATTCGTCATTTAGTTTTTAAACAGTCACTAACACATTTTGTATCAAACAAAATTTGAACCCATACAATTGTAATTACAAGGCGAAAAATGGCTGTTGTTAGAATATTTATAGTTTTCTTTCCATTGTCTCTCGCTGTGAGCATTATAGATAAGCTCTCCATACAAAAGCCAAAAAGAAAAGACGTATTTAAAACGCTGATAAGCTAACCAAGCAAAAAGAGCCGAGCTGCAAGAACCCTACCAACACAGAAACAGTCGCCTAAAAAACTCGAAAGCAAACAGTGTGGGTTATATTACGTGTAGCGGCAGTTGGAGAGTGAAAACGCGAATCCGAAGTACTCATAAAATAGAAACCGCGTGAAACGAGATTTTAGTCGAATTTTAGCAAGCGGCGATCACGCTACAACCGTTCCCAAACATCATTAAGCATTCGCAATTGATTAGTTCGTGGGGTTGAACTTTAAGCGGACCTCCATACATTTGAAATGTTGGTGTCTAAGCAACACACAAAAGAACTATTCAATACCCCGCAGTACCCAAGGTGCAGCTCATGAAACCTGCCGAACAGAAAACAACGTGCGGAAAAGTCTACCGAAAAGTGTGTTGCTGCTGGAATACAAGTCGCAGCAGAAATGGTTCGAGGTCTGTGGACCGCCCTTTTTCTGTTGGGCAGTGCCACCTACGGCTCCAGAGTTCCGGTGAGGAAGCTCACTCTCGACCGAAGCTGTCCGTACCACGCTGGGTGCAATTCCACGGTCAACGAGCAGCACATTGAGGTGCTCCTGAGTTACGTGGACAGCGAGAAGAATCCCTGCGAAGACTTCTACGCCTACGCCTGCGGAAAGTGGCGGGAAAAGCATGGGGGCCATAGCACGGCCACGGCCATAAGCGAGGCAGAGATCAACCAGCAGTATGAGGAGCTCTTCAGCCACCTGCAGGGCCACCCAAGTGCCCCCCGAGCACGGGCACCCCATGTACGGGAAGGTGCTGGCCCACTATCAGCACTGCACCGCCCTGAAGAAGCCCAACCTGAGGCGATACCTGGAGCTGTTGGGCCAGGATCTGCTGTCGACCCTGAGCTCCACGCACTGGATGACCGTGCTGGCGGTCCTGGGGCGGTACGGCTACCACGGCCACTTTGTCCAGGTGGAAGTGCGGTGGCACAACGCCACTCACCACATGATCTTCCTGCTGCCGCACAACCGCCACCTCAGCCTGAGCCTCTCGCCGCACATCTACGACGCCCTCAGCCAGGACGGCGCCTCCTGGCCGCCTCTCGACCGTCTGCAGGAGCAATTCGAGTCCCTCGAGCGGCAGTTGGTCGGACTGGCAAAGTCGCACTCGGCGGACGACAGCTTCCGGAACTACAGCCTGGACCAGATTCGGAAACAGGTGTCTGGGCTGGAGTGGGACGAGGCGTTGAAGAAGCAGCTGGGCAGGTCGGTGAGCGCCGATCACGTCCTCCTGGTGGACGACCTGGCCGCCATCAAGGGGCTGGTGGAGTTTCTCAACGGGGCGGACACCCTGCTGCTCAACCGGTACAGCCTGGCGCGGTTCCTCAGCCACCTGTTGGACCTGCCGCACAACCCGCTCGCCAACTGGGAGCCCGGCCAGAGGTCGAGCGGCAGGGACTGCATCCGCCACATGCGCCGGGCCCTCTACTTGCCGATGAACTACGTCTACGAGAGGAGCTTCTACGCCGGGAGGCGCAGCGCCGACGAACAGGTCATTCGCAGCGTGTTCGAGCAACTGCGGGACCAGCTGGAGCGTCGGGTGCGGCACAACGCCTTCCACCTGGGCCAGGAACTGGTCGAGTCCCTGACAGCGAAGGCTCGCCAAATGCGAATCAACGTGGGGAACCTGCCGCCCAACGCTTCCGAGAGGTTCTTCTGGGACAGCGACCGACGGTGGAGCGTGGGCAGCGACTTCTACGAGAGCCACCTGAATAGTCTCCTCTACTACTACTCGCTCGTGGCCGACCTGGAGGGCAGCGGCGACCGGAGGGAGCGGGCGATCTGGTACAGCTTCAACATGCACACGCCCGAGTTCCCCGACAACATCGACGCCACGCCCTACTTCTACTGCCTGGGCAACATCATTTTTGTGCCGTACTCCTACCTGAAGCGGCCCTTCTTCGACGCCGGCTTCTGGCCGGCCCTGCTCTACGGCGATCTGGGCAACACCCTGGGCCACGAGATGATGCACGCCCTCGACACGGACCTGGTCGACTACGACGCGCGGGGCAACCTGCGCAACTTCAGCGAGCAGCTCAGCCAGGTGGAGCTGTACCGCCGGGCGGTCGCCTGCCTGAACAGCAGCGCCGTGATGCTGAACGAGCGTACCTCGGACGTCAGCGGCTCCCGGCTGGCGCTGCAGGCCTACGGGGGCGACTGGCTGACCCGGTCGGACGACGGCCGGCTCTACTTCCTGCAGTTCGCGCACTTCTTCTGCGGCGACGAGGGCGACCAGTACCACGACTCGGGCAGCCAACGGCTCAACTACTCGCTCAGCCAGGTGCCGCAGTTCGCGGAGGTCTTCCAGTGCCGGAATGGGAGCGGCATGAGCTCCCCGGAGCAGTGCCCCTTCTGGTAGCCGGCCAGCGGTGGCAAGTGCTAGCTGGCGCCAGCTTTAATTAAGACCCAAGTATTGTGAATAAACCACCATGTTTAGAGATGATTGCGTATGCGGCTCGCATCTACCAGCGGATTTTCTGGCGTGGGCTGAGTTAATTTTCAATTACGTGCCCAACGTGACAGACTAGGCACACATATGCAGAATCATTTTTGCCGTCTGCACTGAATCAAAGCGGAGCAGCAGCAGGCACCCAGGTGTACACGCATTCGGCGGGACCAATCACCCATGCGCCCTCACGTGTGCGCCTCCCAGCTCGCTTTTATTTATTTGCTAATTAACACCCTTCCTGTCACTCAGGAGCTCAGCAACTCGGCAGCTTAGCAGCCCAGCATCTCAGAGGACGACGGCCAAGGGGAAAAACGGAGACCGAAATCCGATACCAACTCCGCTCCGAAGCCCGAGCCGCTCCGGCCAGGTACACAAAGCCACTTGTTGAAGGTCGCCGCCCACGCTACTCGCACTCCGCACTCTGCTTGAGGAAAATGGGGAATGACTGGGTCCACGTTCACCTGGCAACCGCGCTAATAGACCATTAACAACCTGCCGGGAACAGTGCGCGTGAGCCGCTTGCCAAACAGCGGTCAGATGTCTGTCCGCTTGTCTTTGCTTCGCCGACCCCAGTGACATGAATCGATTCTTCGATTTAGAGACAAAGGCAGTTTCCTTTTACGGATCGATTTGCCCTAACCCGGAAATAAGGTTCAACATGTGGAACCTATCCGCACACCGGTTCTTTTCAAAATTTGCGATTCGTCTAAGTTTTTCAAAATGGTTTTTATTTTCTTTAAATTTGTCACAAGCATTAAAGCACTTCTATATTTAACTTTCTTATTTGCTTTTTATTCCGCTTTGTGCGGACTTAGTCATTCTTGGCAGTCTCTTCTAGAGCAACCTTTTAAGGGTTAACGGATAACTTTGAAGTACTATTCAAAATAATTTCAGAATTACTGGGAAACCGACACAATTTTCTTTATCAGGCTTGAAAATAAACTTGATTTGAAATATGTGTTATAAGTCTTGTCGATTTATGGGGAATATTTGTAACTCTAAGGGCTTATAACCTACTTCTTTTCGTTGCAATTCGTGAATGTTTTGACCGGAGCCAGAGTAAGCCTAATACTTTCAACACACCCAAATAAAGTTGCATTAGCTGAGTGTCCATGTGCGATAAAGCTGCTCGGTCGCGAGACGCGTGCCCCTCTACAGTTCTCCCTCGGCCCATCCATGAGCTTATCAGCGCGGGGTTTATTCATTCATGTAAGTCAAATCGGCTGTGCAGTATAAATGGGTTGCCTTATAATTAGTTTTAAAATAAACCACTTTGCCAGCGGAACACGCGAAGCGGAATGACGCAATCGGAGCGGCAATTGCGCATAGTGTGAATCGGGAATCGGGAAGCGGCTGCAAGCCCCGGTTCCCCGATCGTCTGAGGTCCGTTCCTTGACCCCTGGGCTCCCGGGCTTGCCGGCACTCGATGTCCCCCGTCACGTGCGCTTAGAAGAGCGGGAACGACGATTGCCCAGTCCGGAATCGATTGCCTCCCAGGCGAGTGTGGGATATGGAACGACTGCGGGCTGACGAAATTTCGAGTCGTCTAGGCGTAATACAAATCGATTGTCGGCCTGTTGTCGGAACAAACGGATTGTGCAGCGACTAACTATGTATGTTCCTACAAGCCCGACAGGCTGATTGGGTCTGAAAGGCCCAATTACCCCCAAATGCCTCCAAAACACCAACAAAGAGCAGCCAAAATCTGTGCCCGAGCTACCTCGTTGCCTCACTGCTTCTGTCGGTGGCAGAAGCGGTTGCAAGTGTCAAAGGTCAGCCCTGTCTCCAGCTGCACGGCCCAGCTAGCCCCTAAGCCCAAGCCACATGAGTTTATTATAAATCAGCCCGCCAGTCCCGTTCCCCCGGTGCCGTGAATGTTCCCAGGGACCTCAATGTTTGCAAATGTTTCTCTGCGTTTTTAGGAGTTCCGGAGATTAAATTGCAAATTGTTAATTTGCTTTACTGACTAACGTCGCCTTATCTGCCTAAAGATTCGTCTCTAATAGTCGTTTAGGCGGAAAGTTCAGACAATACACAATCACATTAAAGTATACCTATTCACAAATATTTATACACCCTTGCAGTCATCAAATATGTCGAACTAAATACATATAGGCAACATCGAAGCCATGACGATTTTTCTATTAATTTTCAATATTTTCGACTATTGTTCATATGACAGCTATGTGATATAGTTATCCGATTTTGATAAAATTTAATTTGTAAATCCAAAAATCATGCTTATCTGATAAAAACAACGATGTTATAATTTTATTTCCGTTATTTCTATATGGATTTTTCGATCTTTCCTATTGCAGCTATAAGATATAGTTGTCCGATTTTTTTGAAACTTTTTCTCAATATAAGGGTTGTTAAAAAATTTGATATTCAAAAAATCATGCTCGTGGGATAAAAAAACAACGATGTTATCAATTCATTTCCATTAATTCTATATATATTTTTCGATCCCTCCTATGGCAGCTATATGATAGAGTTATCCGATTTTGATAAAATTTAATCCGAAATTCAATAGTGGTTAGAAAACGCCATCTGGAAGAAATCAAGTCGATCTGATCATAAACAACGGCGTGAGAATTTTTTATTTCATTCTCTCGCATGGGAGCTATCCTATATAGTCACCCGATTCGGCTCGTTCCGACCTACATATATACTGCGTGCAACAACTACACAACTTTTGGGAAAGATTCAGCAAGATAGCTTCAAAACTGAGAGACTAGTTTACATAGAAACCTACAGGAGGACAGACGGACAGACGTATTCTGATTCTACTCGTGATGCTGATCAAGAATATATATACTTTATGGGGTCTGAGGTGTCTCTTCTGACTGAAATTATAATACCCTTTTGCTCTGCAAGGGCATAAAAAGAAATTAAGCCGGATGGCGGGCCGGACGGACTTCTCGATAGGTTGGCGGATGGGGTGCGGGATGGACTGGGAGGAGAAAGATCGACGACGCTGTAAAGTTTATATATTTTTTATTAGTATTAGAGACAGTTAATCAATGTGTGTTTATCCCGTGAGTTCGAAATCTGGGTTACTATATGAAAACAATCTTGGAATGAAAAATGTAGATTTTAGAAAGACGCGTTCATTCAATTTGTTGCCATAGATACTTTTTTTTGCTAACAAACAGTTAAATAATGTGGAATTTGAATAATGACATTACGCCTTCTAACTCCATAAAACTATAAGTGTTAAAAAATTGGGATTGAAGACGCACAGTCTTGTGGCAAATACAGAATAGCTTACAAGTTCAAATTAAAAGTATTGTTACATAACTCTTTAAATTTTTTAGAAACAACAATATTTTCGGATAAAACTGCTATTGAAATTTAAAACAAACGACAATATTATCCTACTTGCGTGTGCTCATATTTCTATATTTTGTCATTGCTTTTTTGTTTTTTTTTTTATGTGTACTAATCTATGTGATAAAAATCATTTCCCATAAAGGTCGGACGACCTTACCACGGACATATACACAAAAAGCTTCGCTTGAAGTTCCCGCAAAAGAGTTCGGACACACAAGGATAAATCGCCCTTAGAAATCATTTGAAATATGTTTCAATTATTGGTATATGAGTAAAATGGAGCCAAAATAGTAATTGGGGCCTCTGTAACTCAACTCGTTCTATCTTAGCTAAGGAATTGCCAAGCTTTTTGACTCATATTGATACCCAAGTCAAGCCAATTAACGAATCAGTTAATTAGGGCCTAGGATCACCACTACACTGGTTTCCGTTGCCGAAACTCGCTTACCATATTGTTTTATCTTTGTTTAAAATTGCAATCATCAAAGAAGGTATCTGAAAAGAATACGATTCGGTTCGCGTAGCAGGATAATGCGCTCTCAACGGAAGGCATTCGAACAGCCAGAACCCAAACTCGTTCCAAGATCCCACACACATTGCAGCCCTCGGAAGTATGCAATCATTTATTGAAATTTGCAGCAGTCAAGCGGCGATTTTTGTTTGCCCAACCACCAGCCATCAGCCACCAACCCACCCACCTACACTGCAAGGACGGGCTAGTGCAATTAACTAAAAGGCAAACGTTGCCCAGAACAGTTTTCGGCTTTCAAACGCAGGACAGTGACGAGTTGCAAACGCTGGCTATCGGGGATTTGTATGTTTTGGTCAGTTGATTAATATGGCAGCTGTAATCATGGCAGCCTCTGATTGTGTGTATGATTGACTGGGCTGTATGCATTGATTGCCGGATATGAGTATGAGCAAACATCAATGGCACGCCAGCCAAGCTGCTAGTGAAAATTTCAATTTCGAAACGTGCTCGAGAGCGGCTCAAGCTCAAGTTCCAGTCGCTTAATTGCCGCCAAATGGGTGACTCTGAAATTTTTGCTTCCACATCCGCATCTCGCCCGTTTCCATATTTACCATGGGCCGAAAAACCACGCCGCAATTTTAATTAGTTTTAACTCGCGTCGAAAATGAAGGAAGCTGACAGCAGGAGCTGAAGTCACGCAGGCGACAATGACGTCACCGAAAACTTTAAAATTCGGCTTAAGGCCTCATGTTGTTGTGGGAAGGAGAGCTGCAGGACTGCAGAGGCAGGGTCGTCTATCTCAGAGTAAATATGTGCGGGAAAAACAACATGAGCCAATACTCGAGAACAAACGCCCAGGCATAAACATATCACAGATGGGTGCTCCATGTTGGCAAACATATGGGACGGCAACGTCGTCAGCGTTGATTATTGTCAAACAGAAGGCAAAGAAAAACGGAGGACAGTTGTCGATAGCATCGACAAGGAGATCCTCCTCTTTGAGGAGGGGAGTCTTGGCCAAACAAAAGGTCAGCCAGTGGGCGAGCGAAGTCCCTATCCTAAAATACGCGAGTCTGTTCTCTCCATTACTGACCTTACTTACATATTAAGGTCGACGATAGGGCTTACATTAACCGATTTCACTAAAGTACGAATGCGGTAAGAACCATGAAAATTAAAGTTCCTGAAAAAGATGATCCTCTATAAAAGACCTTGAGTTGCCATCGTATACATACAACGATATTTTTAGTGATGGTGAGGCTAAGCATCTCAATCTAATCATATATTAAAATCGGACAAATCCCAACCAGAATCGCAGGCAACCGCAATCGATTTCTGAGCAGCTCTAAAATGTAGCATCCAATCTTGTGGTCCGAAAGAACCTGCCTGGCCGGACGTAGAGCATAAGAAAACACCCAGTGCTCGCCGGGCACTTTGACTGGCTTGTAAAGTCAAACGATGAGGGGTCCCTGCCCGAGCCCCCGAGTCCCCGATTCGCCCACAGACACACATGTGCGACCTGCCAGTCCTTATAAGCGAACCTCTGCGCCCTGCCCGATATCTTGCAGCGTTTTATCGCCAAAGCTCCTCTCACTGTGGCTTTTATTTGTCAAACAAAGTATTTTTATTGGCTTTTTAGGAAACCTTGCCCCCCGGCCTCGGCCTCGGCCTCTGCCGCCGTCATCCCACATCCCACGGTCTGACGAAGGCTCCGAGGGATATCCGTGATGATGGAGCGGAGGCAGGCGCGTGCTCCTTGTCTGCTAAATACTCGACACTTGGTATGTGATTGAAATAATGCCTGGCGATAATCCGTGTCTTATTAAACGGTCTTCACGTCGCCAGTTACGGCAGTTGTGGATTTGGGTCTGGCAGGTGGCTGCATATGTATATGCCATATGTGGACCTGCCAGAACGGATTCGGTTGCAGCGACACTTTGACAGGCCTTCGATTTTCAATTTCTTACCTCTGCTTATCAGCAGCTCACTGGGACGGAAGTGTGGCCAGGAGCTGCCCCCTTAATCCTATGCCTATCCTAGAGGTCCCCGAAGTATAGGAGGGAAATCGTGAGTTTATGTAAAAGCACTCTGAGACAGCAGTGAGCTCTTTGCCCAGGGCCAGGCACTGTTTCCCCGAAATTAGTGATACGCAA